CGACAGGAATTTTACTTATTAGGATTTGTCTATATATTTTACAAGACATCCTGATACATACTGGTACAAATGGTAACGCCGTCTAGTCAGTTCATGTCGTCGTAATTATAGGTTAAAATGAAAGATAGACTAGGTATTATGAAACAGATTGATTTGTCATTGATGTCAAAAAGGCCTTCAGACATGTCTGATATGCTTAGATCGATCGTGCATTGATTCACTCTGCATACGTTCCACGACCTGTCGTGCTTTCAGACTCAAACAGTTTGCAATCGTGGACGATAAGCTGATCAAAACAAGGAAGTCTAAATTCCGCTTGATAAGGAAATGGAGACGGTTTCGTAAGAACGTCGGAAGTTTTAGAAATGTTAAGTGGAAAACGGGTTTCTTATCTCTGTGAGACGGAGGATGTAGATTAAAGGCACGTTGAGATTTTCTCAAATGGGTACTGGCGATGGATCTGGATCGGACAGGTTAGATTACCGTCGCTATATCTTTTTCTCCCTCCTTTTGCGGTCGTAATGCCGGGTTTCATCGATCAAGTAGCGTTGTCGTCACTCTCACTTAACTTCAACTTCAAAGAAGACGACTTTTAATTACCAGGCTGATAAGCCTATCCTCGGAGCTATCACGTCCGTGAAAAACTTGTCTCCATATTCTCAAGTTGTACTGGATTGAGCTCCAGTTTTCCCCGACCAACAGGAAACAATTCAAAGTGAAACGAACTTCAATTCTTAATGACCTCTTCTTTCCTTCGCAAAATAAGCGTTGAAAGTATCTCAGTTTGTTCTAAGAGACCTTCAGCTTGCAAGAAAGTTTGAATGTCTTCATGCAACTTGCTTGAACGTAAAAACTTAAGTTTGAACACTTCTTTTTATCAAGTATTTATAAAGTTTATAAAGTACATTGTTATCAAAAGTATGTTTCTAGCCGGAACGTATTTTCTCTAAGCTTGTGTTGGATTGGGCTCAAATTTTTCCACGGCTAGCAGGATATCTATTCAACTATGCTAAACAACTGTGACAGCTTATGTCATGAATATCTGTTTAACTTTGCTAAACAACTGTGACAACTCATATCTAGTCTATCTATTCGACTATGCTAAACAACTATGACAACTTATGTTTAGGATATCTATTCAACTTATGCTAAACAACTGTGACAGCTTATGTCTAGGATATCTACACAACTATGCTAAACAATTGTGACACCTTATGTCTAGGATATCTACACAACTATGCTAAACAACTGTGACATCTTGTGATAAGGATATCTACACAACTATGCTAATCAACTGTGACAGCTTATGTCTAGGATATCTATTCAACTATCCTATACCACTGTGACAGCTTATGTCATGGATATCTGTTTAACTTTGCTAAACAACTGTGACAACTCATATCTAGTCTATCTATTCAACTATGCTAAACAACTATGACAACTTATGTCTAAGATATCTATTCAACTTATGCTACACAACTGTGACAACTTATGTCTAGGATACCTGTTCAACTATGCTAAACAACTGTGAAAACTTATGTCTAGGACATCTATTCAACTAGGCTAAACAACTGTTAAAACTTATGTCTAGGATATATATTCAACTATTCTGTACAACTGTGACAACTTATGTCTAGGATATCTATTCATCTTCGCTAAACAACTGTGACAACTCATATCTAGTCTATCTATTCAACTATGCTAAACAACTATGATAACTTATGTCTAGGATATATATTCAACTATGCTAAACAACTGTGACAACTTATGTCTAGGATATCTACACAACTATGCTAATCAATTGAGACAGCTTAGGGCTAGGATATCTTTTCAACTATGCTATACCACTGTGACAGCTTATTTCATGGATATCTGTTTAACTTTGCTAAACAACTGTGACAACTTATGTCTAGGATACCTGTTCAACTATGCTAAACAACTGTGACAACTTATGTCTAGGATATCTATTCAACTATGCTATACAACTGTGACAGCTTATGTCTAGGGTATCTATTCAACTAAGTTTATCTTCTGAAATATCTTACAATTTAGAGTCATCTCGAGACTCAAAGGGTAGCAGCTGTCTAGAGAACAAAAACAAAACAAAAATTCGATACACTTGTTGCCGGATTAGTTCAGATCTTTCGTCATCGACAGTGACATGATTCATTCATGAATATGATCGTAACATCATCACGAATTCACCAGATCGTGCTGCCCCGTTGCAAAAGAGCTTTTTACTTTTTGATTAATATCAACTTAATTACGTTATCAAAACCCCAAACGAAGACCTCTCTCGTATTTTAGTGGACATTAATAGTTTTGTTATACACTGTTAGGCAAAAACTTCTCACAACTTGATTTGTATATATTTTTATATATTAATCAAAGTTTCACGTTTTTTAACGTTTAATAATTGAGTCGTTTACAAAAATGTAAATTGCTAAGGAAAATGAAAAATAATTTTAAAACTACAAAACTACGGACAGATTTTTAATATCGCCTATTCCTCCTCTTGCCTTAATTACATATTGGCATACTTTCTGCCAATCTGGAAATGTATCTTTGCTGGAGGCTAGCCCATTCTTTACGAAGAGCTTTTTTAAGATCGTACAGTATCAGGAAATGATGGACGTGCTCTTATTCGTCTTTTGAGGTTCTCCCATAAATGTTCGATGGGATTCAAGTCTTGAGAACGGGCTGGCCAGACTAAGACACTGATGTTATGCTGTTGAAGGTACGAGCAACGTGTGGACGGGCATTATCGAGCATGAGAATAGGATTGTCGCTGATTTCATGGAGGATAGGCAACGCATGATGTTCCAAAAGATCACCCTCATGTCTGTCAAAGATCACGAACAACAACCAACTCTGTGCGGCTCTCCATTGAAATTCCCGCCCACACCACTGAGCTACGTTAAAAAGTTGGCTCTGGGTAAAATTACAAGCTTCTTATCTTTCATTTTGCCTTCACCACACTCTTCCACGCCCATCTGTGGGGATCGTAGAGCAAATCTACACTCTTGTGTAAAAAGTACAGCAGACCAATAGTCCAAAGACCAATGGCTGTGTTCTCGAGTAAATGCGAGCCGTGCAGTTCAATTCTGGTCGTCTTACGTGGCTTAAAGTCATCTGTCCATACTGATTTAGTGCTTTCAGAAATTTGGACACCTCGAACATCCTGGACCTGATGAATCGCTTGAACAACAGTAATGTGTCGATTTCGAAAATTCTCAAAGTCAAAAAACGGTCATCCTGTGGTTCTGTTACCCTAGGGCGTTTAGAACCGGGCCTTCTATGGTAGGACCCAGTTACTCGAAAACGTCTAACGGCATCTCGCAGAGTTTCGTAGGGATCTCCGATGGCAATAGCCTCAAACCTGATAGAACGTCCATCATCAAGCGCAACATCCTCAGCACTAATTGGCATTTTTAAGTTTAAAAATTGAAATTAACAAAACAAAGATGAAAACTAAACAGCTTATTGCTTCAGGATTCAAATGAGACTGAATAAAACTTTTAAATTTCGTAAAAAGTAAACATTGAAAAATCCTTTATCCTTGTTTTGGATTAAGGATTTAGTGTGTTTATTCCCAATTTAAAACACAGCATAAACAAATATTTATTTATAAAACCAATGAAACAAATTAAGGGCAGAATTTCTTTTATCGAGAAAATGAAAAAAAAATCAGTTGGGTAGAATTTTTGCTTCAGTGTATTTAATTGGCCAAATATTTTTTCTCGATGCAGAATGCATAGCCTACCCAAAAAATCTAATAAAACTGGTATGGTTATTTGAATTTTTTTTAACCAGCAATCCTTAATAAAGTTTGTTTTTTAATTTCCGTCTTGTTTGTTGGTTCTTTTCTTTAACGAGAATGCTTAAGTTTGGAAAGAATTATTGTTGTCTTTGTTGCAAGTTGTCTTTTGGTCCATTTGCTCACCGCAAAGCCTGCTCTTCCTTATCTAAGAGAAAGCGTGATGAGCAAGAGGCTCAGAGCGGAGGACGTAACTTCTCAACCGTCCTTGAGCATTGTTTCATGAATAACCAAAAGCCATCAAGACAAAGGACAAGTGGGGAATGCAACTACAGGGCTCGTTAGTAGTCAGATCGTGGGCTCTTAAATTCCTCGGCCTGATGAAACAATTCAAAGGGGCTTTTATCACCTCGCCTTAAATTGAACCACTGGGAGAAATATTTTACCAGGTGTGATATAACAACGAGGGGAAAGTCGCCCACAAAGCTCTTATACGACGGTAGTGGCACGCAAACAGACGCGTTAACATCTTTTGTCGCCTTTCATCCTATCCACAATCGTGTTACGGTTTCGGCGGGTATGTTAGATTGTCTGATTTTGCGCATGAATGGAACAAAAAAAATCTTGCGGGTTTATGGAAGTTCAGTCACCCTGCGTATGATATGACCGTGTTTCGAACATTGTTGAAAATTTACTATCTTAAAAGTGTTATGAGAGGGACTTTCAGCAAACAGTAAATACAAAAAGCTTTTAAAAAGAGATTCGGATCTCCCGGCGGATGCTGTTTCAAGGAACAAAGATAACTTTTTTGTAACTGAATTGGGCAATGGTAAACAGCAAGGATTTTTAGCTTTTTATTGCGATCATGTACTTTACTATGCTTTCGGTACGCCAGCTCTTATAAAGATCCAGGTTTATTAGGGCGAATAGTGTAGAATACAAAATGAAGCCTATTATCCAACAAAGTCAGTCAGGAGAGTACTCTGTTTGCATCGCTTAGATCGAAAATCTCATTATGTTAATATTTTTGTCTTTTTTTTAAGAAACACGCTCTAGTTTCATAATACCAAAATATTTTCTTAACCCATGACAAGAATGTTCATCAACTCTCTGAAACTTCAAAGAAAGTTTTTATTGTATGATATTATAAAAACCCGACGATTCTTATTCAAAGACAAATTTTACTTCTATGTATATTTTGTACCTTAAGATTTTCATGTTTGTTTTGTCTTTTTGTTTACAGTCGAGACCTACCTCAGCCCTGTGGAGACCCATTGCATGAACATCGAATACTACTTGCCTGACGTGGACAACTTAACCAGGGGCTTTTCTGAGGACGCCATGACCAGGCTACGTAAGTCTCCCATTTTATGTGGAAAGTGGGATAGTTTTTTTTTTTAGTTTTTTTCTCAGCCGTGTCAATTGTTTCCTTTGTCCACTAAATAATCCAATTACAGCTGGTTTTAAGGAACAATCGAGCGACTTTCTAACGGCCGGTGGTAATTTGTACAGCGCTCGGTCTTTTGCTCTTTGGGTGAAACGTTCAATAGAAAACGGAAAGGCTGTTAAATATACATCTATTCTACTTTAATTATAGGGCACCGTCCTGGCGTGGAACCGAGTTGGATCTTTTTGGGAAAGCATTCGTGCTCTTTGGCGAAACACTAAAAAGTTCATTTAGACTTTCAGCGATTTTAGCAGAACTATCAATCCGCGGAATTCCGTCGGAATATCTGTTGGTTCAATTATATCAAACAATAATAACATTTGAACCAATTTACCGTCTAATTAATTTACCCAGCCGTAAATAATCCTCATCAACAACATCACCAATTCTAAAAAATATCCGCAATAGTTCGTATATTAACGATCATTTTGGTCTAACAATTTGGTCTAAAAGTTCAATGAAGAAACTTGCCTTGGAACCTTTTATATCATACAAAACTGACAAAAACTTAGAATCATAGTTGGTCTACTATTTGGACACTGCAGACTACAGAGTTACGTTTTTCAGCAGTTCAAAGCAGCAGATATTGATGCATAATAAGTTGGCTAAGGAAAGTTCATTCAAGATTCTTTTTAATCAGCTTGTATGTTGCATACCAAATTGCCAAAAGCACAAATCTATTGAACAATTGGTTCAAATTGTTTTCTACACAAAGTTCAACACAAAGGTATTCTAAGGCTGTAATTACATTCTCCCATAAGAAACAACCTTTTATTTATCTCTATACTCTCCACGATGCTCTTTTAACGCGAGTTGAGGTCATAAAGGATCTTGGTGTACTTTTTGATCAAAAGCTCAACCAAGAGAAGTTTAAAGAACATATTTCTTCAATAAAAAATAGATCTATGAAGATGCTAGGTTTTATCATCTGGAACACCTATGAATTTAAAAATCCTCTATGTTTTGTCCATCTTTATAAAGCTTTTGTACAACCCATACTAGAATATACTACACCTGTTTGGAACCCAATCTATCTAAATTATCAAAAAATTCTTCAATCTGTACGAAACAAATTTTTAAAAAAACTTTCCTACAAACTCAATCTTCCTCCGAATTCTGCCAACCCTGGAAGCCGCTCTGAATTTAAACTTTTCGAACTGGCACTAAGAAGGGATTACTTTGATATTGTTTTTGTATTTAAATTATTAAACAATCTCATTGATAGTCCTTCTCTCCTCTCTCAACTTGCACTCTCTTAAAACCTATAAATTATTTTATATTGAATTCCAAAGCTCTAACTACACGCTCTCTTCTCCTCTACACAGAATGATGATCAAGAGTAACAACATCTGCAATAGCATTGACTTCTTCAATAGTTCTGTGCAATCTGTAAAAAACCATATCCTACAAACTTAGTTGAATGCTTTTATATTTCATACTGTACAAAATTATCACAATTTATTTCATTTACTGGTTCAACTAATTCTCGCACTCTAGTCTTATTATATATTTACACAGAGCATTATTTTCATTAAATATGGTCATAATTATTGTAGTTTCAATTGTCTTTCAGCTTTATTTTGTTTCCTCTGCCTTATTTGGTTAGTAATTAGGTCTTTCATTTTTATTGTTCAGTTTTTTACTCTTTAATTGCATTTTTATATTTATCATTTATATTTACCATTTATATTATTACCATGTATATACGTCCTTATTCTTTTTATATATATTATTTGTATTTTTACATATATCATTTATATTTTTTGTTATTGTAAAATGTCTTGTTTATAGTGGATTTCGATCTGTAAATAAATAAATAAGTAACATGCAAAAGTCCATAAAAATGACCGACACAGAATGATAGTACGACTGCTGTACGAATCCTGCAGATTCCAGAGTCATATTGACTCGGAGTAGCCCGAACTAGCCAAGTAGAAGAAAAACAGCTGAACGGTATGAATGCCTGTGCAGGCTGAGATTTCAAATCCTGGGAAAGGAAAAGTCAAGGCTTGAAGAATACACATGCTAGCCCTTAAAAAAGCTTTCGGTTCTGATAAAAAGCCCTAATATTGAGCCAAGCTATCAAAAAAGCCCATGAAGAGCTCTAGATAATAATGAAGATTGTACAATAGACCAATATTGGTCATGATGTTTAAGGTCATTAAGAGCAGTCTCTACTACTCCTAACTGTAATCTTAACCTCAGGGTATAGACAGAGACACTAAGGGAATAAAGAAATTAGGAATAGTGTTCCTAGTGTCATCATCAACAGCGATTGTTCAAAATGTCCCCAGCAGTGCAGTTTTGTTGATAATGTTAGTCTGCCTATACTCGCTGGCATGGTCTGCCTGAAAAGTTTCTCGCCATCATCAGTATAAGCAGGGACATACAAGGGGACGTCTAGATCTAGGAAAAGTACAAGCCAAAAGACTACAGTGGTTGGGAATAATAAATCCACATATCTGAGAAATGCATTTCAATGTCTTCAGTGGCTCTGGGTTATAAACAGGGAGAGGCAACGTATTGATACAAAGGGATCAGCATTAAAAAATAGTTAAAAGAGAAATGCATTATACATCTGCCAGACCAGCCCAGCTAGGTAGATCAGATGCTGTGCTATTACATAGTACTGAAATAGCACACCTGGTAACATTTTGACTTTAACACATTTAACACACATTTTAACACATCTTGGATGCCTCAGCTGTCATCATTCAATTTTCATCATCTTCAATGGTTTTTATTTCACCGATTTGTACATGAATGGTGAAAGGCTTTACCTCTTATAAATGTTCAAAAGGTAGTACAGACAAACTCATCACTGAAGATGATGGAAAGTAGAAATACACCTGATTGACCAGCCCACAAGGATTGGCAGAATAAAATGATCAGTAATGACCAAATTATAAGTTCATTATCCTACGACCTACAAAGAAGTTCATCATTTATTTGTAAAAATTCATCAACAAACTCAATAATTTTGACACAATGATGGAGTAATGACACATCACACTCACAAAATTTCTCTCTTTCTTTTGTCTTTTTAAGAATCATTTTTCAATCGTATGTATGATTTCTTTTATTTTCTTTTAATTGTGAGTATTTTTGAATAAGACATAAGGGAGTCAACCTATATCCCAGGCTTTTGCTCCCATGAGATAAAGCGTTTCTCAACCCCACTATTGTACAAGTGGAAAAAAATAAACGATATTTTTACTTTTACCCGAATTTTTAATTGATATTTTTTCCACTCTACAGACATGGGCAGATCTGCTATCGCGTTGTTCATCCTCGCATTCTTCACCATATTTGTCGCCTTCTGGACCGGAATCGCAGGCTGTTGGAGGCGATCACCCGGGAACATCACTGCCACTGCCATCCTCATGCTTCTCGCCTGTGAGTTGCAATTCATAACTTGGACCGGTACGAGGTTTAATTTTAATTTTTTGCCTCCAGGTCTTTTATCGGCTGGTGCAATGGGTCTTTGGCACGGAGTCGAATACTACGAAAAGGAGCGAGTCGTTGGAGAAGAGTTTTACCAGCAGTGGAATAACGTTAGTATATTTTATTTATTTTATTGTTACTAATTAAAAAAATCTTGAGATATAATATAAAAATGACAGTGGAAACTGGTTTCAGTCTATAGAATTTTTTTTTTTAAATTTTGTGGACAAGTTGATTCCAGAAAATTCATCAATCTCCTGGCGTAATAAATTAGTATTTTTAATATTCATTGCATATTTATATAATTTTACAGAAGAATTATGTCTAAAGTTATGATGACTGCGATTTGTGTTTATATTACTGAATAACTGATTTATTTATAAGAACCATGTAAGATTTCTGAACATTTTAAACTTCAAATTTTTTTAAACCATAGTTTTGAGACATTATGGTCAAATAATATCATTTTTTTATTTATTTTTCAAGAAATAATACTTGCATAGTGAAATATTTTACCATAAACCAACAAGTGATTAATAACGAAGTACAAAATTTATTACGAAAATTGAAAATTGTGTTTAGTTTAAAACAAATTGCATTTTGGCCATAATTGGACATAATTATACGACAATAATTCAGATTTACTGTTTTGCCTGTCTATAAAGATTAGGATTTCATTTTCCAAAATAGCTGAAAATTTGAAGAATCAGATTTTGAATTTGCTGAACTAGGGTTTCTCTCAGATATGACAATTTTAATAATATAAAAAACATTTAATATTGATTGTAAATTTGACACTGTTTAATAATTAATAACAAAAAAATTCTATGGTAAATTCAAGCCAAAAAAGCACAGATTACTCTGAGAGATTTATTTTGTCCTTAGATGTTTATATGAAATCAACTTTGAAAGGTTTTGATTTTCATTTTGATAATTGGCCAGGAATAAATTGACAATTTTTTTTTAAATGAATATTCCATTATATGAATTGTTTAATATAATTGAGAGCAGGTGCTGAGAAACGAGACAGTTACACAACACGATTGGTCTTATGTTCTGGCCTGGCTTTCCGTTGGTTCAATGTTTGTGTCCTCGATACTCTTCATGGTATCGTCATGCTGCTTGCGATCAGAGCTCGAGGACACTCCGAATATGCACTTCGTCATGCCAGGTACAGGAGTATGCAAAAGGAGAACCGGTGGCTTCTTGGACTTTCGGCACCCCTTAACTCTCGTCCCGTAGACCCGCCCGTTTCTTTTTCTTTTAACACGGTGCCGGACTACCTTTCTGGGTTGTTGGGTTCGCAGATGCTTCGTGAAGCTTCGTACACCGGCTATGACTGGTCGTTCTTCCTCATGTGGGCTGGTGTCGGATTCTCATTTCTCTCGTCGATACTCTTCTCCGGTGCGGCCGTTTGCCTCAGATCGGAAAGAATCAAAGAGGAGACAGTCAACATGCAGTATCTCATGCCTGGTACACCATAACAAATATTAACGCCCTTTTATTTTATCATAATATTAATACATAATAAAAATTTGTTTAATTATTTTTAACATTTGACATTTTTGTTGTTCTGTTAAAACACATTTTGAACTAATAATAACCTAGTTATTAAAAAAATATATATACATATATAAAAAGTATAAAGTTCAACAAACATTAATTGCAATAAAATGTGCACTTTCTTCGGTGGTTTAATTAAATTTGTTTTATGCCTACTTTAACAATTAACAAAACTTCTTGGTAAAATCAATATTATTTATAAATTATTGCGCATTGTTATTCTTTTTTTTTTTCTTCAACAGTGTACCCACAGAAGCAGCATTACGCATATCCTCCTCCTGTTTACCCTCCTTACCAGCCGGGACCGCCTTACTACCACGGATCTCAGTGCGGGCCCTACAACTACTAAGAAGTGGAAAAGAGACAACAAGGCAATTTCTTAAAACGAAACGAAAAATTATACACTTAACTGGAATTGTTTTAAACATTACCTGAAAAAATAATAATAGTAATAAAGGAATCGATTTTTTTTTCTTTCTTTTTTTTTGGTAGGTGCGTTCAGATCCCAATGGGAAATTGTTCTGAAATGAAACAAAAAACCCTACCAGCTTTGATGTTTTTATCTTTTTATTTTTTTTAAGCTTTTATCTTTTTTACATGTTTTTCAAATTTGTTTTATCCTTTTATTGAGTATTATAGCAATGACATTGTTTTATTTATAATTTGGTAAAATTGTAAATTGTAACTCAGGAAAAAAAATTCTGTTTTTATTTTTATCCTTATAAATTGGTTATTTAAAAAAAAATCGAGTTTATAATTAGTTAATAAACAAAATAAACCTAAATTAGGATTGGTTAGCTATATTTTTACTTAGAGATAAATACTTTCTGATAAAAACTTATACATTTTCTTAGTCATTGTTGAGTACTTTAGTTAAACCCAATTAGCAATGTTTTATATTTTTGCCAAACCTTTCATAAGTTTTTACGTGTAACAATTAAATAGAAATAATTTGTGACAACGAAAATGCTCATTAGTGAAATCGTCTTTCGTTTGTCGTTACTTGTTATTAGCATCCATTTGTGCATTCAACATTTTTTTTCTTTTTGAAATGTGCCTGTATTATATTATTTATATATATTTTTATACTCCTAGTTATGTATTTCAATTCGAGGAGTTCAATACCTTTTTTATTTGTAAATAGCGTATTGAGTTTTCTTAATCATAATATCATAGTGTAAAAAGTAAACGTTATTTGCTAAGATTAGTCTTTAATAAATCAGCGTGAATGTAAATATTGAGAGAACTGTGAATAGGCCATTTTTCCACAGTGACTGTCACCAAATGTTTTTCTTTGCTGAATGAATGATTTCGGTTGTTGTAAAATTTAAAATGTTTAAATAATAGTATTTGTTACTTAAGAAGAACCAATGATAAATGTGAATGACTATGTAATTTTTTTATATCTAACTTTATCTATTTAAATCACAATAATAAATATATATTTGTAAAAATTTTATGGTTGTTTTATTTACTTTTATATTATTCTTTCCAAAGATTGGGGAAAAAAGAATATTTCATAAAACATTAGATAAAGTTTGCCCTTTTGATCATTTACTGTTATGAAAATAAACCTTTTCAAGTGTTTTTTGGGGGTTGATGCAGAAGACTATTTTTTCCTCCATTGAGACCTGAGCACGATTTTTACATATTTTTCAAGAAAAAGCAAAAAAAACCCAAAAATTTGATTGTCTTTTCCAATGTAAAAGGCTCATAGGCACATTCCTCATACCTGGAATGTTTGTCCATTATTTGAGTTTTTCTTTCTCAATCCATTTTTCAAGTTTCAATTTAACAACACACTCTGGAGTATTTAATTACGGTTCTGGTCCAATGGGTGAGAGAGTTGCCACTTTTTCGGCTAGTTTGTCAGCCTGTTCTTATGCCTTCATGCCCAAGAACCTACTTTAAAATAGTCTTGTTTTGCTTTCCCAGAGTCGTTAGGCAATTTAGAAAACATACCATGTTAAAAGTCCTCCTGAATCGACCACCACTAGATATCCCAGGCATAAAAAGGAGCCTTTATATCTTTAGGAGGAACAACAGGCAGATAAAGTTCTGGGGATGCATTCATAAGCACCTTAAGCAATATAACACTGTCTTTAAGGCGGAAAATTTGTTGAACACTGTGCCAGACAAATCAAAATACAGGGTATTACCAACAAAATAAAAGCCATCTACTCAGAAAGCCAGGTAGTAATGTCCGAAGGGGTTTTGGATTGAATCCACTCCCCGTATACCAGGGATACTCGGCAGAGAGACAACGAGAAGACCAAGAATGTTCAATCAGAACATATCAGCCCTGAAGCATTTTGCGGCATACCAAATTTCCAAAAATGCAGATGGGTTAAAGATTAGTACTCAGATCGTAGGCTTGTAGGTGACGTTTTTTACGTATTTTTCGAGAAAAAGGAAAAAAAATCGAAAAAATTTTGATTCTTTTTTGATGTAAAAGGCTCGTAGGCATGTTTTTTTACATATTTTTCAAGAAAAACCAAAAATAAAATAAAAATGTATTGCCTTTTTCTATGTAAAATACTCGTAGAACACGTTTTTTTAACTTATTTTTCAAGAAAAACGAAAAAAAAAATCGAAAAAAAATTTATTGACTTTTTCAATGTAAAAGGCTATAGGCACTTTTTTTTACATATTTTTCAAGAAAAACGCAAAAAAAATGTATTGCCTTTTTCTATGTACAAGACTCGTAGAACACGTCTTTTTACTTATTTTTCAAGAAAAACGAAATAAAATCGAAAAAATTGTATTGACTTTTTCAATGTAAAAGGCTCGTAAGCACTTTTTTTTACATATTTTTCAAGAAAAACGAAAAAAAAATATAAAAAAATTTATTGCCTTTTTCTATGTAAAAGGCTCGTAGGCCCTTTTTTCACATTTTTCAAGAAAAACGCAAAAAAAATCGAAAAAAATGTATTGCCTTTTTCTATGTACAAGACTCGTAGAACACGTTTTTTTACGTATTTTTCAAGAAAAACGAAAAAAAAATCGAAAAAAATTTTATTGACTTTTTTGATGTTAAAGGTTCGTAGGACACGTTTTTTTACGTATTTTCAAGAAAAACGAAAAAAAAATATAAAAAAATTTATTGCCTTTTTCTATGTAAAAGGCTCGTAGGCCCTTTTTTTTCCCATTTTTCAAGAAAAACGCAAAAAAAATCTAAAAAAATGTATTGCCTTTTTCTATGTACAAGACTCGTAGAACACGTTTTTTTACGTATTTTTCAAGAAACCCCCTCCAACAAAAAAATCGAAAAAAATGTTATTGCCTTTTTCTATGTAAAAGGCTGGTAAGGCACGTTCTTTTTACGTATTTTTCAAGAAAAACAAAAACAAAAAATCGAAAAAAATTTATTGCCTTTTTCTATGTAAAAGGCTCCTAAAACACGTTTTTTACTTATTTTTCAAGAAAATCGAAAAAAATTTTATTGACTTTTTTGATGTTAAAGGTTCGTAGGATACGTTTTATACGTATTTTCAAGAAAAAAACAAAAAAATCGAAAAAATTGTAGTCTTTTTCGACGTATGAGTGTAGGCCCGCTTTTTACGTATTTTTCAAGAACCCCCCCCCCAACAAAAAAAAATCGAAAAAATGTTTTTTCTTTTTTCGATGTAAAAGGCTTGTAGCCACTTTTTTTTACATATTTTTCAAGAAAAACAAAAAAAATCGAAAAAATTTTGTATTTTTTAATTTTTCTAAGCAAATAAAAGAATTAGAAAATGCTTGACTTTAAAATTTCTGTCAGATAGGTATGATTTCAAGAAATTTTGAACAGTTCCATGACCCCCAAGCCCCTCCAGTCTACTCTGGCCATTCATAAATTTTTTTTTTTGTCCTCTCACCAGTCAAAAAAGCCTTATAGCATTTTTTTGTTGCAAGTTTTTAGCTTAAATGCAGCTATATCTTTATATTTATTAATATATTTCTTTATTTGATGTTTGTTGAGTGAAGAACATTGTGAATGATTAGAACAAAACATATGTTTCTTTTTATTAATTAACAATAATTAATTTTTTTAAATTTTTCATATAGGGTTGTTATGTATTTTCAAAAAATAATTATAAATAGATGATGGGAAGTTTCAAAGATAACACGATAAACAATTTGTACTTTAATGAGCTAATTATGCTTAAAATAGTACATCTAAATGACAGAAACTAATTTGTCATAACACAATTAGCCAGGGTGATATAATAAAAATATGTTTTCTGCACAAAAAAATGTTTAAATAATTAAGTTTCATTTTCTTGATTTGATCCTAATGGATTGCTGACTACGTTCATCAACAATGTTCCATCGATTCTGTATTTACATAAATTTTCCCTTTAAATGATCATGCAGATATTTTTGGCACACAGTTACATTTACTTTCTTACAACTTAAATTTATCTGTTGTTAGGTTTGTTTTATGAAGAAAACTTATTCTGAATTGAAAGGGATAAATAATATAAATAAAAACAAACTAGTTAAAAATATTTTACATTACATTTTAATTATGTGACAGGAGAAAAATCTATGTACAAAAAACAATAATAAAATAATTTAAAGCCAATAAATTATCACAATATTCATTAAATTAAAACTGAAAAGGCCATTTATTAGAGCACAAGCTCAAAAAAAAAAGTTGTTTTTAATAAAATAAAATGGAAGACATCTACAATATTATCTTACACAGTAAAATATTTTAAGATCAAGTTTATTACCTAGTAAGTCACAAATTTATATTATTGAGCACTAAATTTAGAATTTGCCTTTACAAACTTAAACCGTTACAGTTAATCAGTAGTGAGTACAGAAAGTAGTGTTATTTAAGATATTAACTAAATGATTCATACATAATTAGTAGTCCAACAGTTTGTTTTAAACAATTAGTGTTTTATTTATTATGTATATATATCATGTAAATTTTAATTTTGATTGATAATAATATTATTTAAAATTACTGAAAAATACATTAATGCATTTCACTTGGAATACCATTGTTACATTATCCACTAATTATACATATAATAATACATATTTTCATAAAACAATATTTGGAAAATAAGGATGAATTATTTTAAATTGCCATTAATGGAAGTATTTACAATTTTGTCATATTAAAATTTAATAAATAAAAAATCTTTTAAATTGTGATGCATGTAAAAGTGCAGAAAACAATTGAATAGTATAAAAAAATAAATGAATGATCGTGTGTTAACAGAACAAATACTAAACCAAACTGACAACAGTTTTACAAATTTAAAAAAATAAATAAATAAAAACAAAAAGATATAAAAAGCTTTTATATATATTAATAAATTAAATTGGATCCTCATTTATAAACAATTACAAAAGACATTAAATATTAATTTCTAAATAAATTATATACCTTTTAACTGAATTTAACATTATTTATGTTTGGCAAATTTTTACACTGCATACAATGTATAGTTTTAAAAACTATTTTTCTATTATTTTCTCTATTTTAACTGAAACTATGAGTGTCAAGATTTTTATAATTGTTTATTCAAGAAACTAAAAAGAAAAACTAAATTTAAGGAAGGTTCTGTATCTTGGTACATAATTTTATAAACTCTGTGGCTTTGAATTAATGTGCAATTAATTAGAGGAAGATCTGTTACCCATAGCACATACAACTAAAACAGACTACAGTTTTTAAATAATACTAACAGGTAGCCTTTTCCCTTGGAATAAAAAAAAAATCTGATTATAATAGTAATTAAATATAAAACCTACATTTGTTAAATAAGACAGTACAACATTTATCAATTATTTTAAAATAAATACATTTAATTATGTTTGCACTGAGCCGTAAGTTCCTGCTGGAGGTCTGTATAACTTTGGTAATGTGAACAGTTGTAAACTATTAAAAGCATACTTTCTTATGCCCACATTTTTATAGCTGTTCTCTCTTCGACATCCTTCACTGAAAAACAAATAAATTAATTAATTAAACATTTAACCCATTTGGAACTGGACAATGAAATTCCGTTCTATGCACTCAAATTGTTAAAAGCAAAGCTTTATCCAGGACTAATTTGTCATTAATATTGCTTCGGTTTTTAATGAATACACCATGAATGGCAGTTGGTATGCAAGATGTCTCAGTTAGAATATAAAATAAATTACAATTAATTAAGGTTTTCAGTTGAGATAAAAAAGTCAATGGCACGAGTGGAATTCGAACCCACGATCTTTGGCTTGATACGCCGTTGCTCTACCACTTGAGCTATCGTGACCTCGATCCACTCGGACACTAACTTCCAATCTCAACCACACCTTTCGAATTTTCCCTCCTTTTTGCCATTTTTCAAATGTCTTGTAATCAATTTGATTCTCGGCGACAAATGAAATGGCCACGGAGAGCTTTAGTGAAGTATACTTCATTTTAAACTTATTAAATTCACTAGTTTCGTGGTCCGCTTGACCAATTAATATCTTACAATTAATTAAGGCTTTCAGTTGAGATAAAAAAAGTCAATGGCACGAGTGGGATTCGAACCCACGATCTTCAGCTTGATACGCCGCTGCTCTACCACTTAAGAAATCGAATCCCGCTTGTGCCAATGACGTTTTTATCTCAACTGAAAATCTTAATTAATTGTAAGATATTAATTGGTCAAGCGGACCACGAAACTAGTGAATTTAATAAAATAAATTGTTAATTTAATCAAGTAAAGTTAAATAAAGATAGATCACGCTCGTATTTGCCATAATAGTGGTTCTGGGTTGGAAAACCGGCAGAATCCCCTTATCAGAAATACCCAATGTTGTATTAAACCTATATGCATGACAAAATTATTTTAATGAGTTCTTGGTTTCTTTTCTTCTTTGCTGGTTCCTATTCATTCATGGGGACATTGGCGATACTTTATTGAAGAAGCTCCAACTTTTTTTCTCTATTTATTAAAATGAATGAATTTTGGACTAATTCCAATTACTCCAATTCAGCTGACGATGTTCCGGCTTACCAATGCAACATCATCAGCTGAAGAGGGTTTTTAGGAACTAGACCAAAAAGCACTCATTTTTAATAAAGAGAGAAAAAATCGGTAGTCCTTCAATAAAATATCATCAATGTCAACAAAGAAATTATTTGAAAATGTTTTAATTTTAACTACTGAAAAGATCAATTTTACCTTCTCATGCAGTCAAGGGCTTTCTGATATTCATGCTCAGCTAAGTCATATTCGGAGCTAAGAATGTTTACTTGTTCAAGAGTAACTGACATACCAGTCCTATCTTTGGCACTTTTACAGCTTGTAAATCTAATACCTGAAATTAACAGTAAATGTTTATTATTAACCACATGTTTATTGTTGTGTCATTGTTGTGGTACCTTTCATTTTTCTACAAATATGGCCAGCTAATTGAAGTATTTGGACATTTTTTGATTTTGGTGTTTCAACTTCGTGTTTTAGACGACTCATCAAATCGTTTAGAGTTGTGTTTGACTTGCAATATGGCATACCTACATAATTTGATAATTAATATTAATATCTATAAATTTTTTAAAATATAATTATAAGAACTTCATGTATGTAGATATACAAGGTGAGTTTTACTTCTGTTCCCCTCTATTTTTTATTTTTTTTATTATTTTTGTTTTTATTAGTGAAAAATCCCAAGACACATAGATTTTTATTTGCCTAGTTATTATTGTTGTCTAATTTCTCACAAAACAAAAAAGTTTGACCTAACTCTCCAGGATAATTGGGTGGGTACTTGACTATTTCAAATGGCAGGGTACTCATCAATTTTTTGACATTATGTTTTCTATTTACTGTACAAATCATAAAAATAACAAGAAATTATAACAAGTGAAAAAAAAGTCGAGAAGATTCTGTTGTTGGGAAAAGTGGACTGAAATCTGCACCAGGATGAATTGTGCTTTAATGAGCTACATCCAAAGCATATAATTCATGTTATTTGAGGAAATTGTCCCATTTCCCCCCCCCCAGTAACATGGGCAAGGTATTTACTTACTATCAATTAAAATTATAAATTAATATATTGGTCATTAGTGAAGATGTGATTGGAGAATATTTTGTTTATGCAAAAAAAACAGTGATTTGGAAATGTTTTTGTACCCCTGAATTCAATGTCAAAAAACCTTTTAAGGAATATACATCAGTACACCTTGCTATTTGAAATGGTTAAGTTCCTATCTAAATCATGGAAAGTTTTTTTTTTCTTTTTTTTTTTTAAATTGGCCTTATGATCTTTGCATATTAGCCATGACGAATCTCTTATATATGTTGTTCAAATTGGGGGTTATCGGGAAAAAAGGGCCAGAGGCGACGGTGGGAATCGAACCCACGATCGCGGCGTGAGAGTCTATCATGCTAACCACTCGGCTACCGCGGTCCCCATCATGGAAAGTTCTAACTTCGGAACTTTTGCTTCATGAAAAACTAGACAAAAACATAAAGTTTGTGTCTCAGGATTTGCCCCAAAAACGTTAAAAAAAAAAAAATAAAATGTATAAATAAAACATATAATAATAAAAAATGCAGTGGGTACAAAAGTTAAAATCACCCTTTATAGAAACGTATAAAAAATTAAAAACCTTTGACTGTTGATTGTGGTAAAAATCCAAGCCTTCGATATCTGTGGTAGTACTCATTAAGCCGGCAGAAATTATCAGCATTGCTTTTGTCATGAGCTTTCGTATTGCCAATGCTTTCGGCTAAGGTGGCAGCCTCATTAATTCCAACGTTAAAAAAAACTGGCGTGATATTAAAAGAAATGCTGTTTGAAGTCGATGTGAGAGGAAGGAGTGAATATACTGCCTCTGGAACTGGTATAACTACTCCGAGGGATGGCCTAGATCCTGTTATTTTTGGCTGTTGCGCATTTTGCCTTCACACATAAAAAAAATCATAAATACATTTATTTATTTAGTCTTCTTACTCTTGCTAGTTTGCCTGTCATATATAATTTTCAGACAGTCTGAAGATATTACAATACAAAGCCAGTGAGAATAGGAGTCCATGATTAAACTACATACTTCAACACAATATCTCCCAATAAAATGTATAATTATTTATTTAAGATCTAACTTGTGTTGTTAGCAACTTTTTGATATCCCATTATGAGATAAAAATTTATTATTTCTGACATCCATTGGTGAGTAAAATGCATAATTAATATTTTAAATATTGATAATTTAGAAAAATTGATAAGATAATTGATAATTTAGTAGGACAATTTTTTAATGTCCTTACCAACAAAACTCAATTTAGTTACAATTAATTAAGGTTTTTAGTTGAGATAAAAAAGTTCATGGCACGAGCGGGATTCGAACTCACGTGGCCATTTCATTTGTTGCCGAGAATCCAATCCGATTACACGACATTTGAAATATGGCAAAAAGGAGGGAAAACTCTAAAGGTGGGGTTGAGATAAAAAGTTGGTGTCCGAGTGGATCGAGGTCACGATAGCTCAAGAGGTAGAGTAGCGGTGTATCTAGCTGAAGGTCGTGGATTCGAATCCCACTCATGACACTGACTTTTTATCTCAACTAAAAACCTTAATTAATTGTAATATATTAATTGGTCAAGCGGACCACGAAATTAGTGAATTTACTCAATTTAGTACTCAATCTTACAAGCTCCGGTAAAAGTTTTAAATTAGTCAACTCTTGTTAATTCGATACTTGCTAATACAAACTCAGCAACTCACTTTGGTAAATCGCAAATTTTTTATGTATTTTGATACACTTGGTAATACAAAATATTTTTTCTTATTTTATATATCACCAACTCCACAGTTCATATCTTCTCTATTGATAGGTTGAAAAATTCCAATATCTCCGTGGTTGAAAACTTTTATTCAATTTAGTAAATTACATAGCGTTTCGGGCTCCCGGCCCGTAAGATTTCTCTATGTTTAGTTTCTGATGGGCCGGGAGCCCGAAACGTCCATGTAATTTACTAAATTGAATAAAAGTCTTCAACTGCAGAGATCTTGGAATTTTTCAACCTATCAATAGAGAAATATTTTTTGTAATGGGGGGGAGAGCATTCTATAAATCAAAATGGAACCACTTCCTCTCTTAAAAATTGTAACTTTTCCTTGTAATATTCATCTAAATTTCCACATATAGTTTACTTCTTTGTATCCTAGTTTTTTTTTCTCTAGTCTGTGATGTTCAGCAGTACCGGTCAATGTTTTGTCAGTGTTCTCAGCACTGGTCAATTTTGAAAGTCTTATAAAGCAAAGATGCAAGCCACATTGAAACAAAAACGCTTCATTTTTTTTTTTTTTTTTTNACTGATAATTCAAATGTTGTGATAACTGAATAATTGTTGTGGTCCCTTGGGTTTCAAATTATCAAGAGTCGACTGTATTAGCATGTCTGTTTTTTTTTTGTTTTTTTAAAGCATAAATAATTGTTCTTTCATATGAAATGAGTATGTTAAGTTACAGTTTTTATTAATATTACATACAAACTATTTTAAACTTAATTATTACAAACCAGTTTAATAAAAAGAAATAAAGTGACTTACTTTGAACCTGCTGTATACTGGGTCAGTTTAAAAGTCACAGTGCTAAGATCTTCTATAGCCACAACCATATCTCCCCACATATCTATTTCACCTCCGTAGTAACTCAAAAGCCCTTCGAATATGACTAATGGGCCAACACTGCTCAGAATGTGAAGAAAAGTAGGATCTGGATTTTGACAGCAAAGCCTCGCGATGAGGCCAGTGACGACTGAAGTCAACTATACGATTTAAAATATATTTTAACAATAAGAAAGACGATGTTCAGTGTTGGATGTACAATGTACAAGATTCACTTACTGCATGTGAAAAACAAACATTTCTGCGATATCGGACATAACACGATCTTTGTGCAGCTTTGTTATCTTCTTGCAGTCTAAAAACGCTGTGAGTCAACCGGGCTGTTTTCAAAAGGCCGTCCATAGCTTGACGCAACTTTTTCATACTAGGTCTTAATTCTCGAGTCCAATCTACAATATTAGTTAGCTCCAAACCTAAATAACGTTAATTAATTGACAAAAGGAAAAGTAAGTAGAGATGAAAATTGATATTACCTTCGGTGAATTTATTCCTAACTGAATTGGTCTTTTCGGTAACTTGATTGATACCGTCATTGCTTAAAGTTTTTGAGTTTTCTTCAGTGTTGTATGTCTGGCTAAAAGATTGTTCTTGTTTTTGTGTGCACAATTCTGAGCGAAAACTTTGTGATCTTGCAATAGAATTGTTAGAGCTTCTACAATACAATTTATAGTTAGTTTAATTAAATTTTTTGTTTCGTATTAAATTAAAATTTGAGAACAACCTTAGTCGCACAGCTGGAGAACCACATCGTCCGCATAGGAATTTCACTTTGCTCACCAGACACATAACACTAGCTTCGATGTTGAGCTGGGTCAAATCCCAAGGTTCAGGCTCGTCAGTAGGTTTGTAATAATTCGCCGAGGGTGAGCTACACATTGCATGGGTATCTAAAAACATGCGCCCGACTTCATGCTCATGGCCATTTGATACAACTTCCACTTTTGACAACTCCTCTTCTTTTGTATTATCTTCTTCATCAGGATTATTTATACATCTTATATTATCCTCTAGTTGATCATTCTATATCCAAGAAATTTCACTGTTTAATAAGTAATATAAAATGAACCTTTTGTTCATAGATACATGCTACATACCATTTCATTTGAGTTTTCATCTATTTTATTCTCTTCATCTTCATAATCAGAATAGGGGACATAAGTTGTTCTTCTCGTTGAATGTGCGCTCCAAAATGAATGACAATTATGAGTGGGACTATCGGGTGTTACAGGTTCTTCATCGGTAGTTTTAAAATCATGAAATTGCAAATGTTGGGTTATTCTCTTGAATGGAGACATCGGAATTTCTTCTTGTGTCAAAGGTTCTGTCACCTTATGTTCTTCTACAAATGTTAATGCCTCTTCTACCAATCCAGCATCCCACAGTGTCAAAAGTGTTCTTGTCTATAAAGTAATAATACAAATGCTTTAAACTGTTTTTAATTTTAATTTATTCAATGTTGTTAAATCGGTACCTTTTTCACCATATCATCACAAATGGACAACATCCCGGGGGTTTTCTTTTCTTTTGCTAATTTCATCAACAATCTCATAGCTTCCACGACTTCTCGTCTCAACTGTTTTATAGCTTGTATGGCATCATGTGCCACGACAATTTTATCAATACTGGGAGCGTCTAGCTTGCTCTTTATCGGAGACTCTTTTAATTGTTGTAGAAGCCTAAGGATCATATCATATTTAATTTGTATATGGCTGATTAAAAATTTATCCTACTCACTTGATAAGACCACCAGTTTTGGATTTATGTGAATGAGCGGTAAATGCCCCAACTGTAATAGTATCGTAGAATCCACATTTTTTAAGAGTATCATTTTGCACCCAAATTCTTTGAAGATGAAGATTTACAGGTGCAAATTCAAGGGATTTATCCAGTTTTCGAGAAGATGGCTTAAAAAAACTCCCTGAAAAAAAAATGTTCAACCATTTTTACACAATAATATTATGATCATATTAAAAAATTATTATTATTACTAAACATAAGGAAATCCAAATAGTTTGTGAGAAAAACTGTAATTTTTAAATAATTATATACTGCTTCAAAATTTGGCTGGAATTTACAGTTCATAAATATTGTAAATAATAAATAAATTCGCTAATATATTACAATTAATTAAGGTTTTTAGTTGAGATAAAAAAGTCAATGGCACGAGCGGGATTCGAATCAACTTCCCATCTCAACCACACCTTTTTGCCATTTTTCAAATGTCGTGTAATCGGATTGGTTTCTCGACGACAAATGGCAAAAAGGAGGGAAAATTCAAAAGGTGTGATTGAGATGGGAAGTTGATGTCCAAGTGGATCGAGGTCACGATAGCTCAAGTGGTAGAGCAGCGACGTATCAAGCAGAAGATCGTGGGTTCGAATCTCGCTCGTGCCATTGACTTTTTTATCTCAACTAAAAACCTTAATTAATTGTAAATAATCACACATCTAAAAGTGTGTGGGGTTTAGTGACCAGCAGCCAATGATTATTTGGAGATCGTGAGATGCAGTCTGGTATGACATAGGTTTTAGAAAAACATTTTCTTTATCGTGCCAATGTTTCGATCTTTATTGAGATCATCTTCAGGGCTCCAAGTGTTTGTTTTCTGTGTAGATTTGTCATTCTTGTATGTCGTGTTGAGAGTGTTCAATAAAGATCGAAAAATTGGCACGATAAAGAAAATGTTTTTCTAAAACCTACGTCACACCAACTGCATCTCACAATCTCCAAATAATCATTGATTATGTATAATTTTTAGTGACTGGTTGTTTAATAATTTGTTGGATGTGTGCAGAGCGGTCAAGAAACCTGCATACCACATTCAAGAAAAACAACTCGTGTTATGAGGAGAATAAAAAAAACAAAAAAAATCTTTTATGAACACATTACATAATAAATAGTTTAATTATTTTTTGGATTTGTAAGGAGGGCCAAGAATGAGGTAGCTTAGAAAAACACCTTTTTCATTTTTTTTTGCCGATGTTTCTATCTTTATTCTATTCTTGTGGTGTCATATTGGTGTGTGAAATTGTTCGCACAATTTTACACAACACAAATGTGACAAGAATAGCACCACACTTTACCGTGAAGATGATCCAGATGAAGGTTGAAACGTCGGCAAAAAAATGAAAAAGGTGTTTTTCTAAACTACCTCATTCTTGGCCCTCCTTACAAATCCAAAAAATAATTAAACTATTTATTATGTAATGTGTTGATAAAAGATTTTATTTTATTTTTTTTTATTCTCCTCATAACACGAGTTGTTTTTCTTGAATGTGGTATGCAGGTCCTATCACTGATCTATTTAGCTCAAATGACCACTTTGAATAGGGACCAGGGATGCATAAAATACATGTCATTTTAGAACAAATTGGTGTTTGTTTCAAGAAAAACAACAGCCCAGGCTGAAAATGTTTACAACCAAATAAAGGAATGTAAGAAAAAATTAGATTAGAATTTCTTTAAACTTATTATGTAAAACCAACCTTTATGAGCTTGTAGGTTCTGTTTCGCCTGAGAATAGAGTCTCATAAAATATAAGTGCTTATCTAATAGCTGTACTTGTAAAGAATGCCATGGTTCAACTAGCTCTCCGATACCAGCAACTTCCTGAAGAAGTTCCTTTTCTTCATTTATCCAAAGTCCACTGCGAAAAACAATTTTATTTACTAACATACTTAAGAATGAGGAAAAAAAAGGGAAATCAAATGTACAATTAGAAAAAATATCAGCGTATAAACTCAGTGGTTTTGTGAGCATGCTATTTTTGTTTATTCAAAATAATGAATGTGAGCTCACGGATTTTTACTGTTCTTTCTTAAACATCACTCATAAATTTTAATTTTATTTATAATTTATTTTAATTTCCAGATTAAGTTTAGATCATTATCAAATAAAAACGCTACAATTAAGCTTACAACAAGCTGACTTAATTTTCGCAAATTGACCAAATGTTAGTGATTGATGCTGGCAAAGCCCAATGCTTATTCTACTTCACTACACTACACTCCTGTGATTTCAGCCTGCATGAGTGTGCTTCTCACTTGTGGTTTTGATTGTGAATATGTTAATTTTGTGATTATAATTCATCAATCTATATGACATTGTCTGAATGCTGGTAGAAGTGTCATTTCATTGTTGTGATTTGTGATTATAACCAATTGTCATACAAGAAATATAAAAATGAAACTTTTCATTTTGGACTTGAGAAATTACATGCTTTCTGTGCTTAAATTACTGTTAAATATGTTTTTACTCAACTTACTAGTATAACGTTTCTTTAAAAATAATAGTGTATTCATTAATATGCATAAACATTAAATCATCTTCATCTTCATAAAATTATTTAAAACTTATTGTATTTTACCATCGTTTATGCAATATTAGCCTTTTATTAATGGTTTTTTTTTTTCTTTAAAACAAGTACTAAACTGTATGGAAATTCAGAATTAAAAAAAAATCTTTTAGAACTTAATAATATGTAAAAACAGTACAAAATTACTTACAGAAGTTGTTGTGGAAAAAGGAAACACAGAGTGCTCTCTGCCATTACTTCTTGAACACATATATCACCACCGAGACCTGAATGAAATCGGTAAGTATGGATATTTGCATTTCCGAACCAACTCTTGAAATCCCCTTGGCGTGGTAATTTTAGTTTACATCCTAGGCGCGGAGGAAGAGATTGCGATCTGCGATGACAGCACACTTTCACGTCGTGATTTGAAATTGTTTTTAAAGGGGTGCTTTCTGTGCTCAAATTGCTCTTCTCCCTTTCATGTGACCAAACAATTATACTTAAAAAACCAACAGTGGCATTGCTGTTACCTTTTAAAGGAATTCTCAGTTTATCGTTATCCTGAAGAGTGCCTAGTGTGACACAAGCATTTCCTGTAAATTTACAATTGATTCAGATTTGATTTTCATTTAATGTTCAATTTAATATTAAACGTTATTGTATTTACCGATTGGTGTTGATGTGTGTGATATAGTTTCTCTAACATCAAACGCAGTAAATTTGATTTTGGAATCACTAATTAACCCATCGCTAGACCGGAAACTTATCGTACACAAGAAACTTGGATTGCTACTCCTCTAAAAAATGGAACAAATATAAATGAAGACCCTAGATTACAAATTATAGTTTATTACAAGGCCAATCTACCTGGATAATTTCTGTGTTGGAATATTTAAGCCAAACAGCTGCCGATGGCACAAAAACATGAGCAGTGACCAGAGAAGACGGTGGCCTTCCATGACCGTCGCACAACAAATTATCACATGATAAAGAAACCTCACAAATTGGTAATTCTGCAGGATCTAAATACATAAATGATACAACTCAAATAGTGCTCGAATATATCAAGTTTTATTTGTTTAGAAATATTATTAAACTGTGAATTTCAATAATTCATACCTATTGTATTTCCCCTCCTCAATCTCCACATTTGCACATCCAGGTCAGGATCATGCCCTCTTTTTAGTTCTAGCTTTTGTTCTAAGTGCAATAACTTGGCTCTTAATTTGGCGTAACCAGACATTTGTATAACTTCAAGCCAAGAGTTTCGTTCTTCCTCTGAGCTCGTACCGCATTGCTGCTCCATCCCTCCTTCAAACACTGAAAAATATTAACGAAATAAAATATAAATTTGTTGGGAACTAAAAAAAAATAAATAAATTACCGATTGTAAAACCATAATAAGGTTCCAAACCGGCTGGATCTATTTTAATGGTAAACTGTTCCAAAACAATGACTCCAACAGGCTCGGACCACTGATAATGATTTTTGAAGTAAAACAGCAGGTTCCCACGTAAGCGACACCATCTTTCTTGACTTACTGTGCACAAAATAATTCCTTTTAATGACAAATTAAACCTTTTAAAATATTAATTATATCTAAAAAAAAAAAATAATGTTCAAGTTTAAACTATGAAATAAACTGGTAAAGACTACTAAATTGAAAAAAAAAAAATTAAATTAGTTTCACTTTTGTAATTTTAATAAGATGAAGATGGGAAAAAGACAAAAGTCTAAAGTAAAACCATGATAATAATAATATATAATAATACATGTGGATAGCTAGCATTAATGCATTAATGGTCATTGCTAGCCCTCTTTTGCGTTTTTCCTATAAATTCGTTGCTGATGCTGAAGCCAAATTACGTGTCGATTAAACTTTTGGTGTTAGATTACCAACTTTATCATTTCTCTAAACCTCTCACAAGCCTTTATAATCCTCAGGGCCTTATCATTAACAAACAAATTTTGCACGTGTAATAAAAAAAACATTTCAAAATAAGTTAGTCTGGTTAGCATTCACACTGCCCTAGAGTACTTCATTCATTGCGGTAATTTGAGGAATAAACGCCTTTATTCGTGCTAATAAATTACATTCACTCGCTAGTTGATACATAAGAACTGTTTCTCATTTACCATTTTTATAGTTATACATCACATAGCTCATTCATTCATGTCAGATACTTGATAGTCCTTGGGAATTGAGGGATCTAGTCTCTCCATTCTTGCTAATAAATACATTCTAATGGCCCTGAGGTAAGGACCAGTGTTTTGCACAGCCAATTCTCTTTAATTCTCAGACAACAGTCATAAATGTGATCTCACCCTAGATGGCTATGTGAAATCCACATGACCCATACGTACATAAAACATTTTCCTTTTTAGGCCAACCTCTGCAAGCCAAGGACCGATGCCTTTTTAACTTTAAATAATTTTGATCTTTCAGTCCAGCAGACTCTCCATTTTATTTTGTATTGCGTCGGAAACAGTTCTTTTTATATCTTTTGGACATGCAGTGTAGGTCGTGTGCTTCCTCATTCCTGGTAATACCTACTACTCAGCTTTCAAAAGTATAACATTTTTCTCTAAGAAAAGGAAAATCTATCTCCTCGGAATTTGCAACCATTCTGTCATAGTCTGCCTCTTCCAGGTCTTCTGCATGTTTGTAAAATTTTGTATAGTTGACAGAGCATTACAAGTATTAAGAATTACTTAGAGATCATGAGATGCGGTTTGGTGTGATGTAGGTTTAGAAAAACATTTTCTTTATCGTGTCATTGTTTCGATCTTTTTTTATGTACAGGGCTTGGGATTTATAAACATTGCTTAAATGATACAAACACATAAAGATATGAATATGAACTTGTTCAATGATGTACACAATATAGAAATTGTATGTTTAATCAAAGTATTTGTACTCACTCCAAATGTGTTTTCTCGGTAAGTGTGTACTCCCTTTGAGTGAATACAAATATTTTGATTGAACCTGAAATGTCTGTATTGTGTAGATCATTGTACAAATTCATATTCATATCTTATAGGTAATTCTATAATTTAAACAATGTTTATAAATCCCAGGCCCTGAAGATGATCTCAATAAAGATCAATACAATTAATTAAGGTGCTTAGTTGAGATAAAAAAGTCAATGGCACAAGGTCACGATAGCTCAAGCTGTAGAGCAGCGGCGTATCTAGCCGAAGATCGTGGGTTTGAATCCCACTCGTGCCATTGACTTTTTATCTCAACTAAAAACCTTAATTGGTCAAGCGAACCATGAAATTAGTGAATTTAAAGATCAAAATGTTGGCACGATAAAATGTTTTTCTAAACCCTACATCACCTAGAATAGGATGCTTCCTAGTACAACCCTAAAAATCTGTTATTCAGAAATTTTTGCAATAGTTCTAGGAGTTGTTCAACTAAGTGTAAAAATAAAGAAGTACTACATTGCTGATATCAACCCTATTTATAATAATGCTATTATTATCATTCAATATTATAATTTTATATTAAAGGATGATTAGGAACGAGGCTGTCTTTTAATAGGAAATTTGAGAAAAGCAATAATTAGAATGTAGTTAATGATTGAAAACAATAACACCTGTTTTACTTTCTTTTAACAAAAATTGAAAAGAAATTTAAAATTAAACCATTTGCAATCAGGAAGTGAAATTATTTAATACAAGGTTAAAACAGACATACCTACTTTGCCTAATCATCCTAAATGAAATGTTCAATTCACTGTAAACAGTTTATCAATATTTTTTTTAAAGAACAAAATCAACCTATGTTTTAAATCGCACATATAATTAAAACAGTCCAGAAGGTAGTTAAAAAACATGTTGGGAATAATTATCACATTACCTTAAAACTGAGTATGCAGTGTAATTAAAAACTGATAGAAAATAAATTTAAAATCAAATTAAAAATTACTGAAAGTATGTTATAAAAACTTTTACAAAAGTAAAGCATGCCTGGTAATCTACCCATGCAGAAAAAAAAATCTACAATAAACAACTACAAATAAATAAAATAAAACAATTCAACAATGAGTTTTGAAAATCAATGCATACACTTACTCTAACATAAAAAGCATCACAATACCAATATTTATAAATTAATAAATATACGTATATGATGTGTAATATGTATATTTATGTGTTAAGTAATATTAACTTACGTACATTCATAAAAATAAAGTTACGCTATTTTTATTAAATGTTTAATTAAATTAGCAAACTCTCTACTCTACTGCGTATGTAATTAAAAATATCCAAGAATTATATTAAAATCAATTTATAGAAAGCAATTCATTGTACTATCACCAAAAATTTAACTTCACCATAAACAAATATTTATTTAGTAAGAAATTTAAAGTGATAATTTATTTTGTCTATTCTAGCGTCTGACACTAAATTGCTACTATATTCACCAAAGCCCCATAATAAAACAATACAAGAGTTACTCAAAGCTGAATTTGTAGCTTTATGATCACCAACAATAGTATTAAATTTTGTTAAAATTGAGTTACAATATTGCTTGCTTTACAAATTAATTATGAATTTCTCACTCTACTCTTATTACTTTTATTTATCCCTCATAATACATTTTTTTGCACCTTAAAGCTGCCAGCAAATGTTTTATCCTAGCTAAAAAAAAATTACAAATATATATGCTTAATGTAACAGTTTTCCCGTTGAAACCATGATGAAAAATTATCAGTCTTTCACCAAATTTTCTTTTATTGCATATTATTACAACTGATTAACAATGAAAGTTTTTTCAGTTTAGTTAATAAAAAACTGAACGGATGTTTGCATTAGGTCTGATGATCCACTATGCTAACTAGTTTAAATTTTTAAAAATTATCTCACTACAACTTAAGACTAAATATTTTGGATCAAGCCAGTTGCACATTTGCTTCGTACTACAAAAACATATGAATCGGCCACAGACAGCATGACAGGAATTATTAAAACCTCTATAATTTCCAAACCTGAGTAAAATAATAATATATATTGTATTAAAGTGAATAATAATTTATGATGGGAGATTTTTTTTTTTAATTTTTACTGAAACTGAACTGCTATTGCCATGTGTTAGTAAGGATAACATTATTTTTAAAAATAACGGGTGGTGTCAAGATTAGCTAAGAGCCATGCTCAATAATTCCAGAAGTTTGATCTATGTATATTTTCAATTAAAGGATTTTCATCAAAAAATGAAGCACCATTTAAAAATATATTTAAAACTAAAATGAACTGTTTATTCTGGAAGAACACTCATTGGCTAATATTAAAATGGACACCTTGGATTAACATTGGAATTGAAACTTCTCTCATTTCTCACAAATATTATTAGGGAAGTTAAAAAAATAAAATTAAAAATTAATCCACCATCATGCTAAGAAATACTGAAAAGAGTATTAAGAATGGATCTTTTTTTAAATTGCAATGCAATGCATGCAAAACCAACAAAACTTAATGACTTCCCTTGACTTATAAAAATGACATACAATATCTGTACACCTAAAAAAAATAGTGGTGGCAAGTCAATATTCAGTAAGGTTCTCTTCTCTTCCAAAAAAACAAAAAAACCATAATCCCATGAAAAAGAATGACGTTAATTAATTACGAAGATCTTTGAGATGATTTAGATTCATATAGACTGAGCTTTATGGACTGAGTTACAAGTGTACATGATTTAATTTTGATTATAGTTAAATTCACTAATTTCGTGATCCGCTTAACCAATTAATACTTTACAATTAATTAAGGTTTTTAGTTGAGATGAAAAAGAGGTCACGATAGCTCAGGTGGAGAGCAGCGTCGTATCTAGCCGAAGGTCGTGGGTTCGAATCCCTCTCATGCCATTAACTTTTTTTCATCTCAACTAAAAACCTTAATTATTTGATTATAGTATTATTAAAAAAATCTTATACAATTTTACCGAGATCAGGGGGTCATAATAAACGGTCAAATCATTAAATGTTATTCTTAATTGAGTCTATGATCAAGAATTATATTAAATTAAGTATATATGAGTATCGAGAAAGACACATTTACCAAACAAGAATAAGAATTTCCTAAAAAATAATTTTAGGATCTTTCCTATATATTAAAAAAAACATATTTCACGGTTATTAAATTTATATTATGCTAAATGTATTAAGTAAAATTTTTGTAGTAAAAAAAATAATATTGTTTTAATATTAATTTAAAGAAAATAATTATCTTTACCTAGTAAATGAATGAGGATATTCCTCATTCATATAGCAAAGAAATTATATCTGCTGACAATGTGAGCTTGAGATAATAGAACAAGTGTTAAATCAAAATCTAAAAAATGATGGTACTAAACCATAAAATTAAAAATGAGTGAAAATGATGTTAAGCAAGCAATGTAATACTGAATAACATGATTCAGAAAATCATTCAAAATAAAAATATTAAACATGTTTTGAAGATTAATCATTGGAACAAGTATCTGAATTCAAAGATAGTTGATTAGCTTCAGACAAATGGAATTGCATAAACAACAAAAATATATGTTTAAAGAAACAAAACCTCATTGTACTTGGATTAAAAGTTTGATAAATTAATAAAAATGTCCGTTCTAAAAGAAAAACATTGGAGATGTACCTGTATTATTAAAATAATTCAAAATGAACAAAGCAAGTTTCTCTCTAGAGTTAAAATGCTCTCAAGTATATTCCAAGTACGAATGTTTTCTTAATCTGTTTGATTTTGACTAATCCAATTATTTTAAAAATATGACATCTTTTAAAATTAAACTCATAGAGGATTTTAACATATTGTTTAAAATGTTTGTTTCCTTTGAACAGTAGATTTTCTTGTTGTTCTTCAATGATAACGTACATAGACATAGTTCCTTTTGAAACCAAAGAGTGCACAAGCAAAACTAAAACCCATATTCAAATACGATTGTTAATGTTACAATGCAACTTTAAATTTGGAAAAAAGGTTACATTTGAGCTTGTTAGATAATTAGTTAGCCCAAGCAGATTGTAAAGTGCTGGTTTCATTAGCAATACCTTTATTGGCTCCACTATAGCAGCTCAGCTCCTGCAAACCCTTAGTCTTTTTTCCTCTTTTGCTGTCTCTTCCTGCAACGGTCACATAATGACAACTCCTAAATTTCACTGATTTTCGCTATTAAGCATGGATTTATGTACCAAAGATGCAGACAGAAATTTATTTTTAACTAGAGTATAATATTATAACAGAATATAAAATCATATTCTTTATTTATTTATAATTGAACAAGAATTTTTTGTAAGTATTAGAATAAATAAATACTGGCCGAGTTGTTAAATTAGAAAATCATCCTAACATTTAAAATTAAATAATAGCAAAACTAAATAAAATGTTTTGGCACAAAAAATATAAACCTTTTTAAACCTATTTGCTTTATCCAACTTTAATAGGAAGACAGACCAATCACTGAATATAGTGAAATGCTGAAATGTATATGACAGAAAAAAAGAGCAAGAATAGGCAGACAGTTAAATTCTGGGTTCAATATCTCACAGCATCCAATCTGAAAATGCTACTCGAACATGGCAGCGGGTTTCTGGGTCCCCTGTGCCGCTTTTTAGGGGAAATTGGGATTTTTTATTGTATATAATATGTCTTATGTGTTGTGTGTCTGTATGTTTTGTCTGAGTGCATGTATTTATTAGCGTGAATGGCAAGGGGTGAGGGTGAAATATAACATCATCATCGCCCCTCGAACTTTTATGTATATGAATGTATTTATTTGTATGAATGTAGTGTTTGAAAGGGTATATAGAATATAGACGAAGTTGGGGCTGAAATGACCTAGATGTCAGGAGCCCCAGTCAAAAAAAAAGCAATGTTTCACAATTTAACATAAACTAAAGGAATATGTAAAAACTATTTTGATACATACAACTTTATTTAAATGAAATTTTAAATATTCTAGTAAATTTCATTTGATAAGTAGTAACATGCTGTAGTTGATATAATTTTTGTTGTTGGAAATGCGGAATATTGATGTTCTACAATTAATTCTTTCTCTTCCTTTGTTTTTTATTTTCTTTTTATAACCAGGGTTGGAGTTAAAGTGTTGAGCATCTAAAAAAACATACACTTGCCAAGATCAGCTTGCGATTTATTTACCATTTTTGCCTATGCATTTTGGCCTGCTCCAACTCCCTCTTCAGGCTTTTCAAAGCTATAATCATACTTGGCTAAATCAATAAATAAATCTCAAGGCTGATCTGGAGGATTGTATGACTTTAATGAGGTCCATGGGAAAAACATGATGGGAAAACTTGATGATATCTTGGGTACTAAGATACAAGAGAATTTTTGGTAACAAAAAAGCACACATTGGCCATCCTCCATCACAGAATGTATCCAAAAAAGGCAAAAAGAGAAGTGGGTAAACTCTAGAGGTTGTTAAAGTTTTTCACAATGTTGGACTAAATCTGTTTTCAAGGAAATTTGAGACACCCGTAAAAAACTTAAATATGTCAATCTGTATTCATATTTAAGGTTGTTTTGCCCTGATGATGACCTTAAAGATTGAAAGCTTGGCAGTATAATTTAATTTGCTCTCTTCTTCAAGACCATACCTCGATCCAGTGTTCAAAAGTGAAAAATTTGTCGATACTTCTACTGAAAACTCTAGAGGTGATGGATACAGTAAACTTATGCTAAAACAACCCTCACCAAGATTGACAAACTCACTGCTACAGTCAAAGGGGCTAAACTCAGAGGAGTCTATGTACCATTCACTGGCATATGAGAAAATGTGTATATTCGATGATGACCCTATTTGTAGATTATGCAATAAGGAGGAAGAAACAGCCACCCACATCACCTTCGAATGTGAAGTAACTGCCCAATGTACAAAGAAAACCCAAGGAAAGGAATTTTAGCAATGACAGTCGATACTAATCCTTAGGAGAATGAGTCGATTGCTCTGAATTATGAAACTAGAACATTACAATAAGATTGCTGCAGCACTTGGGGAACGAAACCCCCACTTCCTGGTATCCATCATCATTATCAGGTTGACGTTTTAACACTGACCCTGGCTATTATTGTCCGAACCCAAATGACCTTTGATTTTCTACAACGCTGACTTTAATCTGCCAGTTTGACAATGTGAAAGTTTCAAAATGGAAAAGTAAGTAAAAATATATCACCTAGTAATCGTTATCGAGCTTCAAAATAAAACATTTTGGGGACGAAATGTACACTTTTCAACTTAAAAGGTGTACTAATTGGTAATTAAACATACCAACTTCATTCTATTAAAAAATGGTACATCAAATATTTGGAATGACAATTCACAAATTTTCATAGCTACTGTTATACTCTCTCATATATAAATGATATACTTAACTTATTGGAGCATGTCAGAAAATCATTATTTTAAGTGGATATATTTATAAAGCAAGAAACTAATTTCAGCTAGGCTAGTTTTTAAAAAAGTTTTACTAATTAATGTTAACGCTTGTATGTATTATGTTTCCTAAGCTTCAAATGCAGTTACTGAACTGTTTGACTAAAAAAGATTAAAAATAATTAAAATCTTAATTAACAATGCTGTTATAGTTTCATTATTATTGTGTTGTTCAGTTTATTAGAAAAGTTGTAAAGTGTTCAATGCTTTACAAAAAACAGAAACTTATATACAGTGTATTATCACGGTAACAGCATTGAATTTTAAACTATTAATCTAAATTCTACAAGGGTTGTTTACAAGACAAAATAAACGATTTAATCGGTCGTCTTCCAATTTAACAATCACTACGCTTCACTAACAAAATCATGACATAAAAAAGGTATATTCATGCCAATGAACAGGAAATAAACATAACATAACGATTTCAGTACAATTATATACAAATTTACATTGAATGATCATCGCAAGTGATATGGGATTTAAGAATATAAAAAAATTGGTATCTACAAAATGTATGCGAATCCATGTCTTACAACCCACTGATATCAACCAATTTGGCAAAAATCCATGCCGGTCTAAAACTCATAAAACTCATCTTCAGACTTCACATGCTTTCAATCAATATGATTATCATTAAAATAGTAGGGAATATTTTATTGTGGACTTACTGTCGGTTCTCCTAAAAAAACCTTCTTGTCTCTCTTTAATTATAAGGACACCTTCTTTATCGAATTCCTGGGAAGGTTGAGTCGCTAGTGTCATAAGCTCCTGTTTGTTAAACCTCATCGCTCGAAATTTGATATCTGCACATTCAGTCTATGTCAATATTCGGTTCAGACCTACCTAAGTTTTCTCCTTTTTCAACTCACTTGGTGGTCAAACAACGTTGGAAAGAGTGATAAATTCCCACGTGTTGTGATCAAAACTGATTTCCTTTTCATGATATTTTCGAGTCGGAAGATTACCCTTGTGTCATCAGGGGAGTCGGATGTCTGGAACGGGACATATCACAGGCAGCTGCATATCGACGGCTCAGTTACACGGGGCCGATTTTCTCTATAACTTGCCATAATTTATTGCATTTTTCTCTACTGTGGACAGACGTCCATAAAACCGATGCCAGTTGTCACTGACAAATATAGAAAAGAGTGTTACAGCTGTTAGTACTCTGAGTACCACTAGACATCATTGGCTGTCAAATTGGCATTGACGCAACTTATGTGACGTCACAATGTACACTGTACTAGTTGTTTTATATTGAACAAACAAAACAAAAGTCATTGTACATAAAAACAAAAGAAAAAACATCAGAAGATAACAAAACACTTCAATTTCTCTCAAATTATTTTAAACCAATTTTACCAAAAATTGGGAGGTGTCAATCGTTCATTACAGGCAAAATCCTTTTTGCATCCTCGCAGGTTTCAAAGTACTATACTAAACAAATGAAACGAAAAAGCAATAATGTAATATACAGGGCGATAGGATATAAGTGGGGCGAGGCAAAGCGTTTTCTTGTATTTCGCTGAAGTTTGCACGTGATAAACTGTGTCACAGAAAAGAGCCCAGTCGGGCCCAGTTTTCAGCACTGTTTTATGTTGGTTGATCAGGAGGGTGTTTCTGCTAAAACTTTTAATATTCTATCTGGCACAAGGTGCAAAATGCTTTCAAAATTCTTTTCTTTGCATATTCTGGTTGTTGCTACCTATAATTATTCAGAAATCGTGAGATGCGGTCTGGTGTGATGTAGGTTTCAGAAAAACATTTTCTTTATCATGCCAACGTTTCAATCTTTATTGAGATCATCTTCAGGGCTCAAAGTGTTTGTCTTCTGTGTAATTACGCCATTCTTGCATGTCGTGTTGAGAATTGCGGCACTCTCAACACGACATGCAAGAATGACACAATTACACAGAAGACAAACACTTTGAGCCCTGAAGATGATCTCAATAAGGATCGAAACGTTGACACGAAAAAGAAAATGTTTTTTTGAAACCTATATCAGACCGCATCTCACAATTTCTGAATAATTATCGATTAACGGTCACTAATCACCACACGTTACTACCTATGTTTATAATTACAGCAGATAAAATTTCTCATCAAATACATTTCTGTTACCACATAAATTATAAAAAAGCTTCATTTTTGGTCATTGTATTGACTGAAAAGTTTCTAAGTCAGAATTAATTTTTACAGTAGCGGCCTGAAGGAACTTTGCAACTTTGCTGAGTTGCAACAAGAAGCAGGTCACAATACACTTAGAAGATCTACAGAAATGAATGAATGGTGGAGTGAATGTGGTGTTCAATCCTTTTTAAAAAGTAGTAGGAACTATCTTTTTAAAAAAGCTTAGAAGACCTGTCCATCGTAAAAACAAATCCACCTTTATTAATATTTATGATAATTACTCAACTAATTGTACACAATTTTTTTCGAAATGAAAAATTTGTATCACAGGCGGGATTCGAACCCACAACTTTCAGCTCAATACGCCGCTGCTCTACCACTTGAGCTACCGTAACTTCGATCGCCCATGCCACAAACTTCTCATTTCAAAGAAAAAAATTTTTTTTGTACAATTAGTTGAGTATTTATACATTTAATAGAAGCTGATAAAATTTAGTATTTATGATCATGTTAACCTTTCTTACCATTTGAAATTGATCATTTATGTCTATTTGTAAACATCTTTTAAGATTGTTTTGTTGTTATGATCTTAAAATAGGTCGAAAGCTTGGCAATTAACAACTGATTTTGTTTTTCATCCAGGCTATATCCAGAGTATAAAAGTGTTCGATATATACAAACTTTAAACAAAAAAATAAATACAATTTGTATATTTCATTAGTGTACCATCCTCTACTGCTGTAATCTTATTTTGAAATTAGGATCTAATATTTAATAAAGAACAAAAGACAACAATAATGTTTTTACTTGACATTATGGTTTTACATTTAAGCGGAACATAAATTGTTTTACAGTTGTGCAAAATAAAGGAAAATGCTTCTAATGATTTCTTCTACTTGATACTGGATTAATCATCTTCGTGTTTTTTGTCGTTTCCAAGATCTATCCCTTGTTGAAGCATTAAAGCAATGCTCTCGACGGTGCCGTCTTTAGCTTCGATCTGACGAAGCGCGTTGCTCACAATGCAAAGATCACCACGCAGTTCAGAGACCAATGCTGCTATTTTCTGAGCATTGCTAAGCACGTCAACACTCTGTGTGTAAGGATTGTAACGCACTCCAAACGGTCTTTCAATACACTTTGCAAATTCTCTGTAAATATTTATAATCAGTTTTTATGATTTATAAAATATATTGAAGGATATAGAGAATTCTTAAACGTTGTCGGTCCATAAGCCAAACATGGTTATCTGATTTTTTTACAAACTGAAGTATAATTAACTCTTTTAATTTTGGTTATGATAAATTGTATTAAACATGAGTAGTCTTTTTATTCCCTCACACTTGCCTTTATCCACCTCTTGATGTCTTAGCCACTTGCCTTTCTTTTCCTATATCATTTCGTTTCCCCACAAAACTAAAAAAGCGAGTATTCATTCTTTATGTTTTATTGTTATTGCACTTCCTCTGTTTTATTAGGAAATTATCGATTCACCTCCAACTATTGAAAGAAAGGGGTTGCTGAAACAGATCTGACAGACCAGCCAACTAGGATAGAGATCAGGTTACTCGGGAGGCAATCAAGCTTGAAAACTATCAAAAATCATATACTTTGTACCTCACTGGCTAGTTTTTTTGAGTCTAAATTCCTGTCCTACTCATGCTGATGTACCTCAGGGCCGGTGGGACAAACAGGTACACAGCTGACATCTCGTTTCATGCACAAATGACCGTTCTTATCTTCGCCGATGATAAACTCATCGTATCAGGACACCTGTCCTTTTGTGCCAGGAGCAAAACCTTACACTATCGCAATCGTATTGTAAGAAAAAGGTTGAAATTAAATTTTAAAAAATCCACCTATTTCTCAAAAAGTTCTTTTACCAACCACGGACAAGGTGCGATACCTGGGTTGTACATAGACAAATGATCGACATGGCACTAATACTGTAACGTTAACTTGTCACATATCAACATAATAAACTATCTATAACATACATAAATTAATAGGAACTTATGTACGTGCAATTGCTTGTTCAGCCAAACATTCAAACATTCTCAAAAATAAAAAAATTCTATAAATCCTCGACTTATTTGATTGCCCACGAGTGATGATCTCCTGGGCATCTGGCTTAGGTGGGAACGAGCGACCCAGTTACAAACATGGGGTTGGATGCTGATATTAGGGGTCCTACCCTAGGACATACATGATTTATATTTATCGAATAAAAAAACAGAAAAACCTAAATATTATATGACTACCCATTACCGTAAATTCAGTTTAAAAAATTATTTGTACAATTATAAGCTCAGTAATTGAATGCCTTGCTTGCCTTTTCCTCTGATACTGCTCGCTTACCTAAAGAAGCGATTACCTAGGGCCTACTAAAAAGTGACAATGAAATAACTTTTAAACAATAAAAATTTGCGTGCAATGCATGAATATTTATGTATGCATTTGTGCTACAGACTTATCGAATTTAATTAGCAATAAACAAGATTATAGCTGGCATGAGTTTGGGGTTGAAATGTTCTAGCTGTTGACAACCCCCGTCGAAGCTGACCCCGTTGGTTGGGAAGCAACGATCTCCTGGGCATCTGATTTAAGGGAGGTACTAGCGATCCAGCTACATAACGGGGTGGGTGCACTCCATAGACCCTAGATTCAGCACATCGTAGTAATTAATATCCAATAAACTTAATTTGTTTGGAATAACTATTACTGAAATTCCTAAAGAATGGGATTCTTCAGATTGGTTTTCCCACTCCACAAATGTACATTTCACCAGCACAACTGCTGTATTGGTTTTAGAGCGAGGAATAAAAAATGTATGTAAAACATAAAAATCTAATAAGTATAAAGATAGAATAAACATATTTTTGAATTTGCCGCCTACTGTACTGTAAAGTGGATGATCTAGAATTCAGAGGTGGTAAATGGTGCGACGAAGTCCCACCACGTACTAAGAATCATTTGAAATTAATTAGCCAAAAAAAAGAAAGACCGTTAACATTATTTAGTTGATAATCTTTATGATTCGTCTCTGCATGTTGTACGAGAACAACCCAAAGAGAAAACATAATAATTATTTATTATTATGTAAACCTTCGCTAATAACTTGTTGATTGTAATGGATCCTTATAAATCCAATAAATCGATCATAAAATAGTTTGTACCTCATCTTTTCTTTGGCCTCTTCAAATGAATCGGTGTAATAATATGCGTTCTGATAAGATGTTATTATGCATTCCTCATGACAGGTGACTTCAGGATCGAACTTTTTTATTTTATCTGTTGCAGTTATAGCATGTTGGAGTTCAGCTATAGATGACAGAAGTCCGGCTCCGTAAACCTTCAAGTCACCGTCCTGTTTACACAATCCAAACTCGACTGTGAAGAAGTAGAGCTATAAAAGAATACACAAATATCATCATAATCATGGGATCGTAAATTTTTTTTAAAAAATCATTGGTGATTTGAATTCTTCTAATTTTTTCTACTTAATTGATTTAACTATAACGAGAGAGTGAATAATAAAATATGTATAATAAAAAAAGGTTTAATTATGGAAAAACAACCGTGGCAAGTTTTTCAACGTCTCCATCCGATGCTCCAAGTGAAGTTAAACCCAATTCTTGCGAAAACTGCGCAAAACTTGGGTTGGCCAAAAGTGGCATGTGTCCCAACAACTCATGACAGCAGTCTCTGAAATTGAAATAGATTGAATTATCGTTCATAAGCAACTAAACAATTTTTAAATAGTATTATTTTAATTAGTATTGATTAGTGGTAATGTGAAGAGAAATGGTTATGGCTTATAGGATGAAGAGTTTATGTAACTGTCATCCCTTCAATCATTTATCTTCTTTTTGAATTTTTTTTTTTCATTCCTGGTTTTTATATCACACCAATAGAATTGATTACACTGTATTATTTTTGTCTAATATTAAAAAATATATCATTGTATAAGTCTAGTATGACCAGACTTCTATGTTTGTATCGGGTGTTGTTTTTATGTGAATTTATTGGAATGAATGAATTTATTAGCGTGAAAGTAAGGGGTTGTTTAACCTATCCCCGAAGGACATCGTGTACTCTGAGGGGAGTGAATGTGATTCAGACTTCTATGTTTATATCGAGTGTTGTTTTTATGTGAATTTATTGGAATGAATGAATTTATTGGCGTGAAAGTAAGGGGTTGTTTAACCTATCCTCGAAGGACATCGTGTACTCTGGGGGGAGTGAATGTGATTCAGACTTCTATGTTTATATCGAGTAAGTTGTTGGTGTCTATTCTGTAGTTAGCACCTGAGGTCCATCGAGAGGCTCTTACGCCGAAAATTTGCCGGCTTCGCTCCGAGGAGACGGGCGGGGTTACTTAATGTAATATTAAATTAAAAATGGGCGCCACGCTGTTTATATGACTCGGAAACAGCGAACCGTAAAAAATAATAATAATAAAATAAGTTCAGGTATGCCGGGGTAAAACCAGTTGCCTCGTGTACGGCCGTTTGGAGCGCGAAACCGAGCTTAGGTAGTTCTTTATCCCAGCTGCGATGGCTATCTTTCACATAGGAGGCCATCATTGTCTTAATGACGCGGTTCACTCTCTCCGTGGGATTGGCCTGAGGATGATAGCCGGCGGTATACCAAATAGTAACCCCATAGCTGTTTAGCATATCTTTAAACTCCCGGCTGACAAACTGACTTCCGTTGTCACAAATAAGTTTCTGAGGGGCTCCAAATCTGAGAATAACATTTTACTCAATGAGCTTAGCTGTCTTTGCGCTAGCCTGGCGAAGTGGTATGAGGACGCTATATTTGGTAAAGTAGTCTACGACGACTAGAATATATCGGTTCTGCTTCGAGGTCAGAGGTAATGGGCCCATAAGAACAGCTGAAACCAACTGCCACGGCTCGTCAACTATCAAGTCCAGCTGGTAGTTGTTGCAGAGGCTTGTTTGGCAGTCAGGTAGGACATCTAGCGACATAACGTGCTACATCTGCTGCCATTCCAGGCCAATAATAAAATTCTTTAATCCGTCGAAGAGTTTTGAATCCCCCAAGGCCAGCTAATGGTATTCCAGTAGTAGGTCCGCACATTGTTGTTTAGGAACTACTAGTTTCCAAGAATTCGGTTGATCGCTTAGCATTTTCTCCTTCCGATCAATTACGCGTTTAAAGAGTTTCTTATTGTCTTCCACCTTCCAATTAAGGTAACCAGCTGGATTCTTCTGCCCTTCCCAATCATAATCGCGTACCGATCCTCCACATTATTAAATTGTACGTCAATTATTCTCACGGCCTCTTGTTCGTTAGCCCTGGACAAAGCGTCAGCAGCTGCATTTTGTTTCCTGGTCGGTGTTGAATATTAAATGCGTATTGCTGCAATCTAAGTGACCATCGTGCAAACCTTCCTTGAGGGTCCTTCAGATTGAATAGCCAAGTGAGTGAACGGTGGTCGGAATTTCTCTACAGCCCATAATACAGCAAGACACTTCGTTCGGTGACAGAGAAGTTCCTTTCATTCTTCTCTTCATTCTGCTGGCATACGCAATAGGTTTTTCTCCATCTTCAAAAACCTGAGACGGTATGGCACCCAATCCAATCGAGGACGAATCAGTTTGAAGAATAAAGGGGCGGCTGAAGTTAGGGCAAGTAAGCACAGGCGCGGACACCAAAACGTCTTTAACTCTCGGAAAGCCTTTTCTTGATCACCGGTCCAGCTCCATTTCTTATTCTTCTTCAACAAATCGGACAATTGTGCGCTAGCTGATGCGAAATGGGACACAAAGCGGCGATACCCTGACGCTAATTCTAAGAACCTCCGAACTTGACGGACAGTGCGAGGTTGTGGGAAGTCTAATATAACCTTAACCTTGTCCGGGTCAACATATACGTTATATATATATGTATGTATATATATATATATATATGTATATTATGAAGGGTGGGCGACCAAGACTCGAGGGGTTAAATACATGGGTAAACTCGTACCCCATCCCTAAAAGGTCCGGGACTTGGTCGGCTCACGTGTCCTGCATAAACCTCTTGGACCTGTTCACAAACACCAAGATTTTGGACCATTTAATCTCGGGGAGTGATTTGGTGATGTCCTCTCCTTCAAAAATTTCAAATCTAGACCTAGCACACCTATCACACTCTGCGAGGTAGTTCTCTTTTATTAGTTCTTCTTTTATTTCGCAAAAACGGCAAAAGGGATCTGGTAGGATACCCATTACGGAGAGGTGTCTTCTCAGTGGGCTGGATCCGGATCAACATGCAGGCCATCACTATCAATTACATAGCCAAGGTACCGCAGCGCTGGTCTACAAATTTGTGCTTTGTCCCAATTGAGCGTTAATCCCGCGTCGCAAAGCCTTTTCATCACTAAATTTAAAGTTTCTATGTGTTCTTGGAATTCTTGTGTTACAACGACTATGTCGTCCAGGTACACAAATACCTTCGGCTCCAGCTCAGGACCCAAAACGGAGTCAAATAGACGTTGCCACGTGGCCGGCGCATTATGCAACCCAAAGGCAAAGTGGAAAAGTCCTCTTCGGGGTACAGTGAAGGCAGTCTTCTCACGGTCTTCAGCAACAACCTTCACCTGCCAATAGGCGGATTTCAAGTCCGGCGATGAAAGATATCTGGCGTCTCGAAGTTTGTCTAGAATGTGGCGTACACACGGTAGAGGGTCCGCTGTCGCCTTCATCGATCAAGGAATTGATAATTTTCAAAAGATCCGGCCAGGCCGCAGGGATCCCCGTCTCGACGCACACCGACCTCTCTTCGATTCTCACACCTACCCTCATCCTAAGCCTATACCAGGCCGTCTTAATTTTTGATTGACCCAACGCAAACTTTAGTTTCGGAGACATTATAATTTAGGAGGCATCACCGGTTAAATAATAATAATAATACATATTCTGTTACGAACGTAACAAGGCTAGCATTTTAGGATCGATGTAATGTACATATTACACAGGGTGGGCGACCAAGACCCGAGGGGTTAAATGCCTGGGTAGACTCGTACCCCATATGTAATATACACATAAAACATGTAAAAGCGGAGATCGAGACGTTCAAATGGCTGCAGTTTAAAACAAAATTAGCGTGAAAGACTAAAAAAGAAAGAAAACACACAGAGCGCCGATGATGACCTCAGGTTAACCTGTTAATAAACCTTCATATGTATAAGTGTTGTACGATCAACTCAAGAAATCATTTTTATCAAAATTGAATGTCATATCAGAGACAACTGAAAGCACGTTAAATTGAAAGCAAGTACGCACTTTTAAGATAAATACAGAAAAAATTAAGCTTACGGTTCAGGCGTGTAATACGGGTCAGAACTGTGCCTTATGTACTGGGTGCAATGAAAAACCCTGAACGCCAAACCTGCTAAAAAATCTCTAGGAGACAGATATCCCGAAACAGGACGCAATTGGAATCCAGTCTTTCCTAAACGAAAATCAATCATAATTTATAAACATACTCTAATAGATTATTGTGACTGTCGGGCTCACGTTTGAGGAAAACGTTGATGTCTTGAAGCTGAGGGATGTTGTCTTCCCTGTAGCCGCAATATTTTACAAGTTCGGGCCAGTTTTCGAGATATTCTCGGCATGCGTATTTTTCGTAGAGCTTATGCAGTTCTCGAAAAACAGTTCCCCTGGTAAAAAAAAATTCTCAATATTAAACCTAACGGCAGTGGCACCGAGTAACATTTACATTGATAGTTACATCACGAAACGTAAGAATACTTTTAACGATATCTCTGGTTTGTAAGAGGTGATCGGGGATAAGGACAAGACAAGAAGGGACAAATTGTGTTCGTTTGAGAGTAGTCACGATCGGTTCTCGAGTCATTAGGAAGACTTGTGACTCAGATTGCGTTACCGCTTCCCCATTTCGTATCGTTATAACCCAATTATTCACGATGTCTTCCTCTCTCCAAATTGGCTTGCTGTGTGAATCAGAGGTCATGTTTATACCACTGTTTGTCTTAGACCGATAATTTGATGTTGGCCAATCGCTACTACGTTATTAGATCATAATTTAGAAAAAAGGAGCTTCTCAAATACAGAATCTCACGTGACGTATTGCCCTGAATTATATTAATGACATAGTTGATTAGAAGAAATCATTTCATATAAATTCTTTTTTTTTAATCTCAAATTTGATTTTTGTTTATTTATTAATAAAATATGTAATAAGATTCCAAAAGCTTATATTATTGAAAGATATTAATTGGCCAAGCGGACCACGAAAATTAGTGAATTTTATAAAGGGTTATATTCTTCAACAGAAATAAATATAAAAAATATATTTTTCTATACTGGTTGGCATCACATAATTTCTTTAAATTTACTAATTTTATCGAGGGATACTATAAATTTTTGAAGTTTTTATCTTTTTTTTTGTATTTAAGCTCTTAATTTTATAAAGGTTTTTAGTTGAGATAAAAAAGTCAGTGTCACGAGCGGAACTCGAACCCACGACCTTCGGCTAGATACGCCGCCACTCAACCACTTCTATCGAAAAAATGAAAAAAAAATCAGTTGAGTCGAATTTTTTGCCTGTCAGTGTATTATCCTCTTAGTGTACATATCAAACAAAATAAATCTATAATTTTTTTCGAGGGATATTTTCACATAACACGCAATTTATGTTCTATTTATATCTATGGAACTAGATTATCAAAGAGTTGTCCTTTTTATATTTATTTGTGTTGAAAAATACAACCCTTTATAAAATTCATTAATTTTCGTGGTCCGCTTGACCAATTAATACCTTTCAATTAATTAATGTTTTTAGTTGAGATAAAAAAGTCAGTGTCACGAGCGGAACTCGAACCCACGACCTCGGCTAGATACGCCGCTACTTTACCACTTCTAACGAAAAAATGAAAAAAAAAATCAGTTGAGTCGAATTTTTTGCCTGCCAGTGTATTATCCTCTTAGTGTACATATCAAACAAAATAAATCTATAATTTTTTCCGAGGGATATTTTCACAAAACACGCAATTTATGGTCTATTGATATCTATGGAACTATATTATCAAAGAGGTGTCTTTTTTATATTTATTTCTGTTGAAGAATATAACCCTTTATAAAATTCACTAATTTTCGTGGTCCGCTTGGCCAATTAATATCTTTCAATTAATTAAGGTTTTTAGTTGAGATAAAAAAGTCAGTGTCACGAGCGGAACTCGAACCCACGACCCTCGGCTAGATACGCCGCCACTCAACCACTTCTATCGAAAAAATGAAGAAAAAAAATCAGTTGAGTCGAATTTTTTGCCTGTCAGTGTATTATTCTCTTAGTGTACATATCAAACAAAATAAATCTATAATTTTTTCCGAGGGATATTTTCACAANTGGGTTCGAATCCCGCTCGTGACACTGACTTTTTTATCTCAACTAAAAACCTTAATTAAAGTAAGGGTTTCGATTTCGCTGTCAATACAAATTTTAGCTATTTATTGAGATTACGCCATTTTTGTTAACGGCATTTGAATATGGTATGCCCAGGTCAGCTTTTCATCTCGTATTATACCAAGTAGAATTAGATTTGACCTTAACTTGCCCATTCAATTCTATTACTGTTAACCTTTTCAAAATTATTTTTGTAAAAAATAATAATGATCTATAATTATGAAATGCAAAAAAATATTACAAAAGTCACATAATCATCAGAAAGATTTATGCTTTAACTCAGATGATTACTGGCTTATATAAACATTTAATCAAAAGTATATGTTTTTGTCTGTACATGGCATTAAAAAATAGAATGGTGTATCTATTGGCTTACCAAGTTTTGATCTCCTCTGCTGTGTACTGTACCCTTGGAATTACATCTCCGCTGAAAATATTGACAACGATCACTTTTATTTTTAGAAGAAAACTTTTCTCTACTTACTATTTGTATGAGTTGGCGATATTTGTAAATATTTCCCTTCTTTTGCGATATACGGGATCTTTGAAACCCTGGAATATTTTCCAAAATTAGTTACTTGAAAGATAATTCTGTATGGAGGAGAGTGCATATTTTAATAGGAAGTGATTTTAATAAATTGTGTAAAAATACTTAAAAACCCGGGATAAATTTGTTGCATTGTAAAAATTAAAAACTAGCCCACATCGAACATCTTCATATTTTCTAATATGAATTTTCTCAAAAAAGCCACATTAATCTTACCGGATGATCTGCATCCAACTCAGATCCATACATCAAAACTTTCTGCGCCTTGTCCAAGTCCTTAATTCTTTTTGGAAACCAGGGAACTTCTTCGAAATCTTGAAGTCAAAAAGAAAAAAGGATGACAGTTTGAATAAAACATTTATAAATATATATAACGAAGTGAATGAAAACTGACCAAAACTCGCGGTGGCTGATAAAGGGGTGGGCGGTGGAAAATCGCATCCTTGTTCGTAATGGGCCAAATTTACAGCAGCTACTTCCCTCTTCAGAAGTGATACGACTTGTTCCATCTTCCTATTGTCGCATTCAACTTCGACTAATATTTCGTATTCGGATTCGGCCCTTGTGGAAGGTCTGGATTCAATGTGGACCACATTAATCCCCATATCCTAGAGACGGATCCAATAAATATATAATAATAAATTATTCCGTAGATATACTAAAAATCGATTTATTGATGGATGGTATAATAAGTAAGAGTTACCTGGAAAACCTGCAGAACACGTGCGAGGCCCCCGATTTGATTTTTGAGGGAAAAAACGATCGAATTTCTTCCAGTGATCGCCCCTTCTCGGTCATGATTTGATGTCGACTTTCTCTCATAATCACGCAAAACCCTTCTCTCACCAGTCCTATAGAGCCAAAGGCCAAGAAGGCTTTTACCGGAACCACTCATTTCTAGTTTAAAACAAAAAGTATTAACATTTTAGACAACAGGGGTAGAATAACTAAACCAACATGTGTTGAACTGTTCGACACTAACTTTACTGGGCCCTTTTACTCTCATTGGCTTAAGGTTCACTCAAATGCGCTTCTTCTTCACGTCATTTTCAGGAAGTTTAGGTGAAAGTTTACGCATTTGAGTGAAACGTAAACAGGCGAGAGAAGACGGTCCCAAAAAATCACCTGCCTAGAGTAGTTGAGCATGGTTTTTACCGGCTCACATCAAAAACCACCAAATTTAAACCCAAAACTCAACTTATTCCTGTATAATCTGCATTGATTTTTTTTATTCATTCAATTTAATTATTAAAACTGGTCTTATTAGACCAACCATTAATTTTATAATAATATTATAGAATAAATAAATGTTTAAATTCTTATAAACCCATTGGTACAATAAGAATTAGATTTCACGATTCATGATTCATTTGTAACTACAAGTTCATATGGCTTTGTTCTTTTTAATGTTCTGGTTATGTAAGAGTTTGGTCGCTTGCACATTTTCGCGCTAGCTGAGGCGAGCCTGGTGTTTGGCGGCAAATCTTTGTATTTCCGCCGTGACTTCAGGGATCTTAAGATCCCTATGTAAGTCCTTATTCTTTATGTACCAAGGTGCATTGACCATGTTACGTAAGATTTTATTTTGGAGTGTTTGTATGATTTTGTGTGTTTGGTACTACCCCATAGTTGAACCATATGTCCACACAGGCATTAGGACGGTTAGGGATGGTTAGGGTTTTTTTTTTTTTTTTTTTCCATGTAAGGTTTTTTTTTTGGCGTTATGAACTATGCATATTAGCCATGTGACAATTCATATTTGTGTGTTCAAATTTGGGCGGGGGGGTTATTGGGCCAGAGGCGACGGTGGGAATCGAACCCACGACCGCGGCGTGAGAGGCTTTCATGCTAACCACTCGGCTACCGCGGTCCCCTATTAGGACTTGTTTGTATGATATTTTATTTTGTAGCAAGGTTGGAGCCACGTCCTATCAACCAGTAGTTTTCTATACCTTAAACCTATTTCTGTCCTTTTTTTCTTCACGTGTTCTTTCCATCTCAGCTTGGCATCTAAGGTCATTTCCAAATATTTAGCTGTATCGCTGTATGGTATAGTAGTTCGACCGAGTGTGAGCGACGGAACATGGTCCACTTTTTTGTTTAAAAAGATTAGATGAACTGATTTATTCTGATTTACGATAGCTTGATTTTCCATTTTTTGTCCATTCTTTTATCTTATTACATGCATTTTGGAGGAATTTGGTTGAATGGGTGATAGTCGGTCCTAGTGATATCACCGCTGTGTCATCTGCAAACGTTGCAATTTTTACTCNACCCCACCTTTTGAATTTTCCCTCCTTTTTGCCATTTTTCAATGGTGATTTTAATGAATCTAATATTCAATGATCTTAATATAACAGGTCCAATGCATACCTGCACACTACAACAACGGAAACACTCGACCTTCCATCTTTTCATCCTTACACACGTTACTTTTGAGATAGCCCGATCTAAAGAGGAGCAATCACAAAATTCTGGAGAGATTTAAAATAAATGAGATGGCTACGGTACCTGACCATATAAGAGAAAACTCAATTTTGACAGATCCTTCCAACTGGTAATAGATAACAAAGGCTTAGAAGAAAAGAAGACACAAGTTTCAGGAACTAGCCTTAATATGGTGCACAGATCAAAGATGAAACGGGGCGTAGGTGTAGGGATAAAGGGCCGATCTACCTAACAAAAACCCTTTGGACTAATCCCAACAATTTTCAAGCTAGATATGTCTTTAGATTCTTTAAAGTGGGTACCGGGATATGAAGGTATACAAGGAAATGAAGAGGCTGATCAACTATCCAAAAAAGAGTCAGCCAGTTCACCCATGAGACTAGAACCACATTTAGATTCACCAGAGTGTGTGTGCAAGTTGAAACTGTATAATTGGCTTGAAAAAGCAAAACTAAACACTGGACAAGAGCACCAGGTAAGAGCAGAGCTAAGATTTTTATAAATCTCTCAAAATGTAAGGCGAAGGAATTCCTGTCTCGAAGCAGGCAGGATTTGAGGAAAATTGTAGGCCTCTATACTATATTGCCCTCTTAACTATATTCCAAAAAAAGGTGGGTAGAGCAGAGTCACAAACATCCCGACCCTATCAGGAGGAACTAGAGACATCGGCACATATCTTTTATGAACGTGAAGCATTAGCACGGTACAGCCACTTACTGGTACTTAGCTATTCTAAATAAAGCTATTCTCACACCAAAAGAGGTGAGCAAAGAGAACGAAGGAAAGTCCTTACTCTTGTAGGAAAAGGGGCACTTTCAATGATATAATCATAATTTAAAGGTATTCCACAATAGGTCTATGTAGGTCGCTGTGGAGAAAAGGATTTTTAAAGTCTTCATTCAACTCCCCCCCAAAAAAATCAATGTCGAAGATAAATAATTTATACCAATATTAACCTAAATAAAACTTTAGAGTTGTCAATTTTAATATTTTTTAAATTGATATGTCCTTGTTCAATCTATAGTTGTGAAAATAATATTTTTCTACCATTACATATATAAATGTGATTATTTAATTAAGATTTTTATTTACTAAAGTTTTATACCAATAAATGGTCAAATCCTGCTAGTTTTTAGGTGAGATGTATTGTAAAGAAATATGGATTTATTATTTATGTGGTATAGATAGCAACCTGTCACATTGAGTTAAAAGCAATTACGAGTTCTTGCTTTTACAAACGAACTTACATTATTGTTGTGTTGTTGTTACGTGACAGAATTCCAACTTTGTTGTAAAATCTGACGTTGTTGTCGATAAAGAAAATTTCTCGGATGTAAGCTACATGCCAGAAATATGTATTGGACATAGCGAAACTCGTCCGACTGATAAATATAGCGAGCTTAGGCGGACCGATGGCCGGGAACGATCAAATTCCGTTCGGATATTCAAAAATTATTTCACAACACGGCGAGCCTAAATGCTAAACCGGCACGACCTTCGAGTCTTGCGGGTGGGAAGACTAGGTGGGTGTGTCACGCCGTGTTGGTTTAAACTTGCCCAAATTGACCATTTTCTGACCTACTTCGCTGACAGAATGTTTGTTAAAGTAGGCAAAAAAAACAGCATTTTTTGATGTGAAAATATCATTTTACATTATGTAATTATGATTGATGAACTTCATAGTTGCAATAAAAATATTTGGTACGATCGGGGATGTGGTCCAAAGAATGTTCTGGTGTTGAAACTACGTCAAGCTTTCGGTTTTTTATTTCACCTTCCTCAGGGTTCATGTTTTCACTATTTTTGTCATTTTTTAATACTAAGTACTATGTTTTCAACAAATAAATAAATGGCACTATTTCACTAGTCACCATATTCACTAGACCTCTTTGTTTGCGTTGATTTTGTCTGTGATAATAGTTTGTAATAAGTGCCATTTATTTATTTATGAAAAACATAGTATTTAGTATATGAAATGAAAAAAGAGTGAACAAATATCTATACATATTGAAAAAAAAAAAAACAATTTTAAACACTGACAGAGCGTCTGTAAGTTGGAAAATTTTTGATTTTCATAGATGAGTACTTATAAAATATTATATGTATATGTATCCTTTGTACAACTCTGAGGAAGGTGAAATAAAACACCGAAAGCCCCGATCCTACCAAATATACTGTTGAATAACAGCTGGTCAATCACTTTTACATCAATAAAAAAGTAAAATCTATCAAACTGTATCAACAACAAAATAATGTCTAAAAATAAAATATTTGTCAAGTAAACTAGGTCATACGTTTTTTTCGTGAAACTAACATAAATTTTGTTTTAAATTTAAATTTATCAAATTTTTGATCTCTAAAGTTTTTCGATTTTTGACAAGTCATTATCGGAATATAATTCAAAAACAACTAAAAGGATTTTAATGTCAAAGAGACCATTTGAAAGAAGAGAACCGTGGCTTTGAAAAGACGTATGTAGCATTAAAATATACAACATATTTCTATAAGAAAATATATAAAATACAAAATCAGAAATTAACCTCGTTTTTTAAACAAAAGCCAGATTTTAATGTTTGATACAGCTGTAAAATTCACTTGGCAATTTCTTTAACACGAATTATCGATCATGAAAATCGGTATGTGTACTGACAACAAATCAGCTTTACTTACAGAATGTTTGTTAAAATATGCAAAAAAGCAGCATTTTGTTGATGTGAATATATCATTTTACAGCATTGCTTATGTAGTTGCAATAAAACTGTAGTAAAAGCTATTAAAGATTATCAATAATAAAAAATGTCTAAAAATAAAATATTTTTCAAGTAAACTAGGTCATATAATATTTTTCGTGAAACTAATATGAAATTTCGTTTTAGCACCTCTAGATATTGGTTATTGAAAAGTCGTTATCGGAATATCTGATTAAAACAACTACAATTCAAAGACGACTAAAAGGATTTTAACGTCAAAGAAACCATTTGAAAGAAGAGAAATGTGGCTTTGTAACGACGTATGTAGCATTAAAATATACAAAACATTCTATAAGAAAATACACAATACAGCAAAATTATTTGTCAGAAATTTGCCTCGTTTTTTTGTTTAAATGGAAACAACAGTCCGATTTTAATGTTTGATACATCTACAAAATGCATTTGACAATTTATTATATTCAACAAATAAGCTTTAGAATCTGTGAAATTACAAATATTTCACAACACGGCGAACCTAAATGCTAAACCTACACGACAGTCTGGCAGGGGGACGACCGGATTTGTGTGAATCTTTGCTAATATTTAATCTCTAATGACTGGGGAAAATGACTTCTGACCTATTTTATGTATGTGTAATAACGCTAAAAAAAATAAATAACAAAAAGGTCTAAAGATGTAGAAAGCATAATTTTGGCAATTATGTAGGAATCGCTAGCTTGATATAAAGCTGGATCAACAATAAAGACTTAAAAATGAAAAATAATTTTCTTGGCGATTTACGAAAAAATTGAACAGGTTTATTTAAATTAAGTTTTAATAAGGAGCCTTGTAAAATCTTAAGCTAAGTAGAAATAAATCCAACAGGATTGGATGGGATTGCGTGTTCCCTTCTAAATCTTAAGTTCTTCAAAAAATATTTACTTTTTTTGTAATAGCATTCACTTGGTTGCATTGAGTTATAAAAACAATTATAAATGGATGCGAAGCCCTTTTTATAAATTAAATAATCATTGGAATAAAAAAAATCCCTTTTTTCTTAATTTTGAAAGTGTACTAGGAAACACTCAACTCCAAGTTTAAGGTTAGAACCTTATAAAATATAAGGAATAGTTTCGATTTTTTTGTATTGTTTACCAAACACATAAACCGAGAGAATTCTGAATTTTTAAAATTGTTCTTTTTTAAGAATGAAACGAATGAATAATTTTGTTATATTTTCGTTAAGAAAATAATAATAACAATAATAATAAATCTTTATTTCACTACAATGGAAACTACAAAAGATAATAGTTTTTTGTGGATTCAAAGTCAAATAATAAAAAAAACAAATTGAGCACGTAGTTATAAAATTGTTATTCTTCCATTACAGCCAGGAAAAAAATAGTATTTGGTGGTATTTGTTTTTGATAAATCGTGGAAATAATTTAATCCTGTGTGATATAAATTTAAAGATTTGTGACACAATTTAAATTTAAACGTATGAAGACATAAATATAACTTAGTTTTGTATCTATTTGATTTATTTAAAATTATTTTTACCAGTCAATTTTGATGACTTTTAGGGATGCGTAATATATTCTTACTAGATAGAAACACTTTTATTATTATTATTGTGTTATAATATATTTAAATTGTATCAATTCAAACATTTAGAACATTGGATTAGAAACGCTAATTGTTAATTTTTAAATTATGTATTGTTTTATATTTTCTTTTTGGAATTTTGAGATTTCTTCCCAGGGATATCTTTGTTTTGGGTGTAGTTTACACTCGTTGTTGTTAAATATTGTAAATAACATGTCTTGAAACCGGCGAGGATAGGCAAACCAAAATTGTAAGCCACAAAAGTTGTTAATCTCGAAGGTAGAATCTACTATTTTATAAATTGTGCTGATTTATATAAGCTCAGTTGAGCTTCTTCGCTTCTCCCAGACCACTAAAAATTCCAGTTTTGGTAATTTACAACGAATTTATAAATTTTACTTTTTTAAGTAAGAATTTAATTTATGATCGCGATGTCTCGATGAAAACTCTTTTATCTCTCACTGAGAACTATACGTAAATTTTTTTAAATTGAATAAAAACCTACATCAAGGAATAGATATATATTGATTTCGAAATGTGAAAAATGCAGCTTAACTTTTTGTTCAAAACAGACGTTTTTCATCATTGTTAAACACGAATAAATAATTAATACATAAAGATTTTGCTCTTCAGGTTATTACTTTTACTTTATACTTTTTTTTAAATAGTCTAACGTTACGTTGAATAATTTCAAGGAAATCAGTATAAATTGTAAGCCCTAAAGTTTTTTCCCTGTTAACAAATTTCCGATTGGGTTAGTCAGTATTTCATGTATGTTTTTGAAAATTTCTTAAAGACTTCTTTTTGAGACTTGTCTTACTTACCTTCAACTCGTCTTGGGAGAAACTGACGGACAAGTGGTTCTCAAACCCGCTGACGTCACAATCATGCGCTTCCACCAGTTGATAGGAAAACTAAAAACGTGACATTTACCGTGAAATTATTTTGATGATAACATTCAATCAACGATTTAGATAGAATCCTTTAAAGTTGTTAAAAAATATATTTCTCCTGACTTTTCTGTTAAAATTGGAATTCAAATTTGTTTAAAAAGTTTAATCTTCTTCGCTTGATAATATATCTTAACTATAAAATGTATAACGTACAAACATGGTTCTGTTAAAAATATTATGCTATCCTCCCAACAGTTTTAAATTAAAAAAAATAATATATTTATTATTACATTATGTATAACTTGGAACAAGAATAACCAGCTCTCCTGCATATATCGAATATATTTTGGGGCTCACACGTCCTCTCTTCAGCGATAACTAAAAATCAACATTTAAAAAAAATGGCGTAGATCATCGTGATTGGAATTAACCATTGTTGTTGTCACAACAATACGCGTGGATTAATTCTTGTTTGTGCATCGCGAGGACATCTCTTCACTCGTCTGGTAAGATTATAAGGGTGGTTTCTCTTGGATAAGGATTGGGCAATTCGATTGGGGAGAGAGGAGAGTTTATGTGGAAAGTGGCCAAGGTTTTGGAAATTATTTTGTGCACGGATTTTCAAGTCATTGTGAAGGATGTAGTAAGGAGCATTGAACATCGTTTTGAGGAATAGAAATTTTGAACGATGGAGTGGGTGTGGAGTTCAATCCTTTTTGAAAAGATGGTTCCTACTCACAGTAAGTTTTTTCGCATATTGAGCGTCATTAAAAAACCAACTCCTCATTGGAACGTCGCGTTGGCGGGAGTATCAGCTGGTTCACTTTTGCAATTCATGTCGAGAGACGTGTCTGTAGAAACCCTTCAACCTGATGATGAGCAAAAGGGCTCGAAATCCGGATTGTTGTGAAACAACTTGTGAGTAGGAACTATCTTTTTAAAAAGGATCGTTCAAAGGACTTTAAATTGAAATAACTGTATTCTTTAATTTTTTGTTGAAACGTTACATTTGCGTGACAGTAGTCGGTAGAGTAGTTAGAAACGTTTGTTTCCTGTAGTTTTAGTCGTGTTTGGTAGTTCCAGTTTAGTCTTGAAGATGAACCCAAGGTAGCGGACGCATTCAGTTTTTGAGTTGTATTTATTATTAAAAAATGTATGAGCAGTTTTGCTTTAGTGTTTGAGCAGTGATCAGTTTCGTCGGTGATTTTGGCTTCATTGCGCTTTGTACGCCAGTATTTTTTCCATTCGGCTATTTGCAGGACATATGGCTGGAGCTTCTCAGAAGCAACTGTGAGATCGGGAGGACTGATTCGTCGGCAAAAGATGCAAAGATGGTGGAGAATGAAGTTGGGATATCTGCGCAGTAGGGGACAATAAAGGATCGGTCCAAGTACGCTGCCTTGAAGTACTCCCTCTCTTAGAGGAAAACAGAGTAGGCCGATCCTTGTCTGACTCTGAAGTTTTAAACAACACTTCTTCAAAACATTTCTATAAAATTTACACTGAATTCATTTTGAATAAAAAATAATCTAGTGATTATTACATGCATCGGGACAACAAATTTACAATCGGTATGTTTTTAACTGTTTAATTTTCTTGTTACGAAACGATTGTGCCTCTCTTCTTGAAAAGTTTTTCATTTGTTTTCGTTTTTGCATTTTTTCCCAATATGTGTTCAACTCGTTTTCTCGTCTTATTTGCATGCAAATAACAAATAAAAATGCAGTTTGGATTGTTTATATGACAAAGGGTTAAGAAGTGGGAAACTAAAAATAAATCGGATTGTAAATAAATCTCAGCTATTTCTAATTGAAATCGTTAATTGACTGCTAAAAGGAAAGTCTTGCTCCACATCGGAGAGCTAAATGTATAAAAGTACTCTCCCGATATTTTTTTATGCACTCTCGACACGACACGCAAGAATGGCACAATTACACAGAAGACAAACACTTTGAGCCCTGAAGATGATTTCAATAAAAATCGAAACGTTGGCACGATAAAGAAAATGTTTTTCTGAAACCTACATCACACCAGACCACATCTCACGATTTCTAAATAAATATCGATTAACGGTCACTAATCACCACACATTTTTTTTTATTTTCAAGCTGCGTTTAGTTTGTCGAAGATGGCTGTTTTCCTATCTTAAAACAATGAAATAATTTTTAACTTCAATTCGTCCCTAAGAAGTCCAAAAGAATCCCACTTCTTTGATTAACTCTTATAAATCTCTCCGATATAACGATTCTTTAAATTATCATATAGTATCAATTAAATTTGATGATGGGTTTTGGTCTGCGAGAAGGTGAACCCTTGCTGAAACGGCATAGGGATGCTTATTCGGTCCGTCCTCACTCGCAGGTGTGTTGAATTACTCAAAAGCGTTTCGGCGTTGCGCCATCATTAGTGAGGAACTCCAGTCCATCCATATTCCTCACTGAAGATATAATTCATCAAACTCGCGAGTAAAGACGAACCCAATGTGTCGGTTCGGCGTATCAATTAAATTATTAGTCGTTCCATCAGAAGCGGAATTTATTTGCAAAAATGTATTTTACTTTATTCAACAGCAAAAAGATATCTTCTGTATAGAACTATTTTAGCGTAGCTGCAGTCACCCTGGTTTGAATCTTTTGTCAATTGAGATGGTTGTTCAAGCTAAGAGTGGAATTGCTGTTTCTCCATTATTTACCCTGGCTGAGGAAGGGTCCACCAGGAAAAGATGTTCTATTTTCAATTTAAATGCCAAGGAGGACTTTCATCATTTCCCTGTGAAGCAGTTCCACAGTGCTTGGGGATGATATGGTATGGTAGCCCAGGTACAGCCTAATAAGACGGTTTAATATTAATTTTGTAACTCTGTCGTTTTTCAATTTTTCAACATTAACAGTGTATTACATGGTCCAAAAGAAAAGAATACGAATTTTATTTTTATTTTTTACTTATATATGTCTGTTTTACTATTAATAAATCCATTATCATGTAGTTAAAGGAATTCCGGATTTAGCCATGCTTGAAATTTACTGTAACTATCTTGCAAACTTAATTTTTGTTAATAATAAATGTTTCTTCTTTTTCTTCTTCTTTTGTAAGACTCTCTGAGTATGAAGCATCTTTTTAATTTGAAATGTTGCATAATTTTCTCCTCTTGGGTATGAAGGAAAACAAGAATCCACTAGGAAAATATAACTGTTGAATAGGGCTAAACCCAGAGTGATTTGACCGAGGAGTGAACTGAGAAATCTACACCACACAGGCATATTCAATTATGATCCCATTTGTAGATTATGAAATGATCAAGTCATGGCCTATGTCATCTTCGAATATGAAGCAACCATTCAGTGGAGACATAGCCTGGAATACAAAGAAAATACTCACGGAAAGGAAATGTACCAACGACAGTCAATGACCTAGTTCTCCTTAAATAAAGGATTGAATCCTTTTGGTTGATATATCCAGGTTTTTAAATAACGTTCTAGTAGAGTTGAAAAATCAATGTAAAGCATATTAGATGAAGTTTTTGTGAAATTTGACAAGTTGAAGGTATTTTTTTGTAGCCTCAGTAGAACGTGCAATCGTGGCGAAAATTTTAAATTTAAATAGAAGTATCTTACAGCAAATTTAGCGTTCTTTCAAATGGTGTAATTGGATTTATTGTAGTCTCAACATTTTGGAAGTTATAAGCGTTTTTATGTGGTAAAGTAGTGAAAAGTTGAAAAAACCTAAATTGACGAATATCATCAAAATAGAGAACTTTTCGAAAATTTTCTCCTGAGCATTTTTTGCTCCAAACGAGGAGTAGAATCGATTCCCTGAGTTTCGACAGAAGGAACTGGGACACCCTGTATACCCATGTTGTGTTGATGCCAGTGACCGGTTAGTTTGGCCTCTCCAATTGCAGCAATGATTTTGCCAATCTTTGGTTGTTTCATCATAAGTTTGCTACGTCTAGCGCCGTTAGAGTTTATCCAATTCTCCTTTTGTTTTGTCTGGATCCATTCTGCGATGGAGAATTTTATATTTGTTTTTGTTATCCCAAGTATAGGTTCGGGGCCTATGTATGGTCTTACAGTCCTCTGGCAAGACTGTTTGCTTTCTGCAGTGCTTGGGGAAAATAAACCCCCATTTTCTAGTCTCCCTTCATCATCATCATCATCATCATCAAGAAAAGAAATCTAAGAAAGCAATAAAGTAAGAAAACTAAATTTAATCTTTGTTTCATCATTTAACAAATTTCGAAATTAACTTTTAGCCTTTCACAGAGACGACCTTAATATTTAACATTCTATTACAAACTTATTGGGCTAATTTCGCCAAATCCCTCTATACCTGTCCGATATTTTCGTTGCAATAAAATCCAGTCAAATTTCATTCAAATTGATTGAGAGAGCTGCGAACAGCGGAGATGGCATGCTGAACCATCGTTGGGTTAGCAGACTCTCGGCTAGTAGATCCCGCGGTCGTGGGTTCGATCCCCGCCGTCGCCTCTGGACTTTTTCTGACGCCTAAGGGGACCAGTGGCCGCAATTGAAAGAAATTGACACGGCACTCATCAATGGAAGGGGCGGTATCGGATCTCAGCAACCCTGAATTTGGTCCCAACCCCCTTCAAAAATGAATTTCTTCGATGGAAGAACACGGGCACACCGGGGGGGCTCAAATTCACACTTGTGTTGCGAACCCAACAAACCCAAAAAATGGAGCCAGGGATAAAGTACAGCTGTACAGCTGCAGTGCTCAGGAGGGAACTCCTCTAGTTTGTGGTATCCATTGTAAAAAAAATCGTTGGGTCATTAATTAGGTCTTTACTCGTGAGTTACATGAATTATTCAAACGCATTTCGGTATTTCGCCATCTTCAATAAGGAACTCTTGAGAATTTGTTAAGGCAATATTTGGACATTATTAACAATAATTTTTTTCTTGGCTCATGGGGCCAAT